CGCGATATTTGGCTTAGCCCGTCTGAAAGTGGTGGCATGTGGCTCATTTGTTGTTGCCCTGGTCTCGGGTGGTTTTCGGGGTATTGGTTTAAGGGGGAGGTTCCACGATGCCAGTGTTGGTTAACACGCCCCTCGATGCGATAATTTACATGCAGACAATGCGCCCCGCTTTCATTTGGTGCCATTTTATGCGATTTTCATTCTAATTTATATAGTTTATTATGTTTTATTTTAATTTTATTTGGCCGCTGGTAGCCATTTAATTGCAGTCATAAATTTTGCCACTCTCTAGTGGCTTGCTTATTGTTTGACTTTTGTTTATACGCTGGTAATTTCGGGTTTCCCTGGCTATTTATGGGTTTGTACTGACCTAAATGTGGGGCTGTAACTATCCGAAAAAAAGAAATTGATTTTAGTAACGCGTTTTGAGTAATGTTTTGCCTAGTTTTCATAATTTTGGTTAAAGCGCACACGGTCGCTTCAATAAATCAAAATTAATTGCCACATTTTTGACTGTTTCTACCTATTTCAGTTGATCCCGAAAAAGTAGGCAAACCATTTACAGCTTTTGCACGTACTGTGCCTGCTGGAAAGTTGAAATTGAAAAAAATGTCACCGTACGCTGTGAGAAAGGGGAGGGGTTGGGGGTCACGTATTAACTCGGCACATGTGTAAATCCAATTCAAAACATGCCACGTGCAACCCCCATCTCTTCTTCTGCAAGTCGAGCCAAAAACTTTTGCCAGCCAATGCAGAAAATAAATTCTTCTCCTTTTTTTTCTTCTACTTCCTTCATGTTTGTTCGCAACTCTTGCTGAAAACATATTTAACAAGTGAGTCACGATGTTCCGACGGGCATATAGAAATTTAAGGGATGCAGGAAAGCTAATGCACTTATAAAAAATTGGATTAAAAATTAAAGATAATCAGGAACAGAAGGGATAATAAGGTAACATTTACAAGTAGGAAAATGGCATTGGAGTGTTTTTATTTTTATTTTCCTCTAAATCTTCAAACTGCTGCTCAATAGATTTCTGTAGAACTAAATTAAATATTCTCAAGTTTGATACCACGGTTCGAAACTCGGCTGTAGTGAGTGTAAGTGCGAGCGAGATGCTAAGACAAGGTTGCAATTTTTCTTTATTGTTTTATAACTCTAGTGCTTATCATCCGATTGTACTCAAATTTTCAGAGTACGCCCGCACTAATAATATATTTTGAAATTTAATCAAAGTTGTTAACAAATTTGTATATATTTTTCTCCGAGTGCTTTCACTTTGGTCACGCTTTCAGTAACAAAACCAACTGCCAAGATGCAGCAAGAGAATGAGAGTTTGCATTGTGTTTGATTTTGAAAGGAATAAGTAAAACGAAAGTAAATGATGCGGCAAAGAAAATGCAACATTTTCATTTATGCAAAATGGCGAAATAGCAGAAAAGCCATCTCAATGGCAGCTTAAATAAATAAATATATACGCAGCAGGGGAAAATTGCCACTGTTATTCTTTGTCCAGCTCTTCAACATTGTCCGCTCGACCATCAAAAATAAAATGTGGCAGTTGTGGGTGGTGGGAGAAGGGTTGCGTGAAGAGAAACAAATGAAGCAGAAAAGAAAATGGGCCAGGGAGGAGGCCAAAAGAAGCTGCTTGGCCATATAAATTAGCCGGAGTGGGCCACTTGAGTATGCCAGAAGCAATGTGTGAGCCTGGAATTCGTGGACTGGGTTGCCAAGAGCCATTTAGCATATTTTGTTGTATATTTTCCCCTCTGTTGAGGGTGGCTGGAGGGTGAAGTGAAGTGGAGTCTGCGCCCTTCGAGGGGGGAAATAAGAAAACCCGAATGAATGACTCACCCACGGAGAGGTGGAGTATGTGAAAGTTGCAAGACGTACTGAGAACTGTGCTAACCAAATAAATGCAGTTGAGTGAAGTTTTTAATTTGCATTAACATCAGGAGGGAGAAGTAGCAAATACGAGACGGAGCTGTGCTATCTTTTTCTGCTTCCACAGCAAAACATTTTAATTTTACGCCACGACTCACAAAGGAAATGCCAGTAAACACAAGAGCACTGTGCAAAATGAAATGAAATATGAAATGTTTGAAATTAATTAAAGATTATTTTTGGTAAAAGTTTTCAATTAAATAAACTTAAGGGAGCCTTCTGTTTGTAAGGCTTTAAGATATCTATAAAATCTAAAAGTACTTTCATACTGGTTTTAAGTCAATGGCATTCTTCCCATTAAATTTAAGTTGCAGAAGTAATTTCTTTCCGTGTACCTACACACCTCATGATGGCAATAAAGTGGCAGTTTCATCTGCGTAAGAGTCGTGCGAACGCGACAAATTGCCCCAAGGACGGGGGCAAAGTTCTTCTTCCCTGTCTATCTACCCCACTGGCTGTCGAAAACCACCCCAAAAACCACCTGAAACCCTCCCCCGTGGCCACTGCACTGGCTTAAGACAAAGCAAATGCCCCAAAGGAAGCCACCGGAGGAGATGAAGGCACCGAGCTGAAGCGGGAAAAGAAATGTAAACATCTGCATTTATGACTTTTGCGGCTGGCTAATCTGATGTTGAGTATGTCACAGGACAGGAAGTAGGCGAGGAAGGAAGGAAGTTCAAGGAGTGGCAGTGGCAGGTTGCCTTGGGAGCACATTAGCCACCCTTCCAGGAGAGGCAGCCACATGGCCCCCGGATCTGGACTCCTCCGCAGACAACAAACATGAAACAGAACTCGGTACAAAGTCGGTACTGAGCTGGCGGAGATTGTAATTAACATAGAATTAATATCAACACGAGAAACTGGCAAGAGCAAACGGAACTGGACTTACAGGATCTTATCTGACACTGTTTGAATAGCTGCTTGCTGGTGTTGTTTCGGTGTAAATTCTGTAGCAGATTGGAAGTAAAGTGTATAAGGTTTATCTTTTAATTGAGAATTGAATACCTTATAGTTTATTATACTAACTAAATTTCTTTAGTTACTTATTATACATATAACATACTAATACAAGAATCGTGTTTCTAGTTTATACTTATTTTTAACTGGGAAATCGTAAAATATTTTCTTATTTTAGAATGTGTTTTGTTTACTAAAATTCCAGTTGAAAAATCTTCAAGTCCTTGGGAGATTTATAGAGAACTTGAGAGTTTTTAAGAGAGTGAATACGCTATCTTAATTCCAAAAATCGTAAATAATTATAAATACACATTTTCTTCAAAATACCGATACATCTATTTGTTATAAATATAATTAAATGGTTCCAAAATGTTGTATAATTTGGATCAATATTTTCGTATTGCTAGGAGCAGTTGTTCAAGTGACTTTATTCCGACTCCACGGCGATTTCCTGTCCCTTGGCCATTGACATTTTGCTGGACACAACCATTATCAATTAAATCGTGTCAATTAATGGACAGCGAGAAGAACGAGAATAAAAACACATAGACCGCCCATTTGTTAACCGCGTGTTGCTGCAACACGCGTAATTACAAACAGCGAGAACGCGAACAAATTGCAAACATTTTATTATTTTTGCATAGCCAACAAGGGCCTGGGGAAGGCCAAGGAACTGCGTTTTCCATTTTCCATTTCCCGTATGTATTCCCTTTGGCCAACTCGCGGTTGTGTTGAACAAAACGCAACATTTCACTGAAAGGCTGAACCAGAAGCGGCATAAATGTTAACGGTTTTACACATGTTAGATGCAACACCGACACGCAGAGCTGCAAATAGTTTTACCTGCCTTACACATTGTAAGTGCACTGGAAGAAAATATTGGAATAATGAATAATTCGCTGTTGTGGTTAATCAGTTAAGCCTTTAATTCGTTTGCAATAATCTCTGTTTAGCAAGCATTGTTAAGCTTTGTGTGTTTTTAGACACACTTTAAGTACCATTCAGTTTTTTCCACACTGGTGTAACCAATTCTTTTCGACAGTGTTGTTTTGGCCTATAATTATGTTGCTTCCGATGTGGCAGAATACGAGGCGCGACGCATTAAACAAGGCCCCAGACAAAGGAGGCTTCTCCCCGGAGGATCTGGTTCTCCCGTCGCATTTTGTGTCTGTCTGTCTGGCAGCGAGCGTTGCCTTAATTATGCGACAGCCAACAGAGCCAGCAACACCCAGCAGGGGCAGCAGCAACACCCATCAGCAGGAGCAACAACTGCAACAACTGCAAGTCCCATGTGCCAAAATTGGTTTATAGACACCGCACGGGGAGAAACTCCTTCTTCAGCCTCCCATCGGATTGATTTATAGACCCGTTCCGCGTCCCTCATCCCCCATTTGGGGAAAATGGTAATCTTATTTAAATTGTTGCCAATTTGAACGCGTCAATTTGGCTATCGGCCAACATCCTGCATCGTCCCCGTAGGTGACTAATTAAAATACGGCTCGGATTTGCCGTCTGCCGTACCCATAATTTATTTACGCTTTAAGTGGGTTTTTAAATCCCGATGAATTTTTAAAGCGCTTTGCAGATTGATAATTGTCTGCCTAATTACATAATCGAATGCTTAATTAAAAAAGTGTAATCGCAATAAAATGGCTGCGGGTTTTAATTCGTAGTATTAATATGTTTGTTTGACAATAAAATAAAATAATTGTTGTCCCTAATTGGAAGTTATATGGGGAAAATGTAGGAGTATTTATAATTTTTTATATATTAAATAACAGAAACTAGTTAATGATTATACTGTTTTAAATGAACAACTAAAATAATTAAATTTTTCTTGCTAAGGAGGTTAAATTTCTAATCCGTGCAACTCTAAAACTATTAATTAATTGTTCGTTTAGTCATTAAATCTGTTTAAATGATCCACATAAAATTCATATTATTTATGGCGATATTAATTATTTTAATAGGGAATAATATTTCAACGCTCTATGCTTTTTAGGACATTCAATAAACTTATATTTGCATAAATACATACATATCCGTACGGTTTATGGCGACCACAACTAATTCTCACATTCATTTCTCTCTGTCATTGCAGTCACAGCGAATCAGTGTCAATCAAGGCGGGGGAAAACGGCAGAAATTTCCCCAAATATGCGCCGGCAAATAGAATCGTCGGACGCTATAATGAGCCATATCAGTGAACAAATATTATCCACGCCAACAGCCACTCGAATGGGAAATGGCCAAAACAATGAGCAGCAGTATCAGCAGCATCGTCATCATCACCATCGACAGCACTTGAGTAAATAGAAAATCAGCGTTCAGAATCAATACAGAATCAATACAAATAGTGAGCGGAGATAGACGGAAATTGATTGTCAACATTATTCGCTGTCGCGCCGCCGAGCAAAGACCTCAATAGATTGCAAAGAAGCCACCGAAGCGAGCGACGACGAACAAAGCGTGAATCCCCCAGCGAAGATGGGGGGCAAGCATCATGGATCCGGCCCAGGAGCCTCTGGAGGAGGCGGTGGCGGTAGTCTCAACTCGAGCCTGTGCAACTCAGTGCTCACGAACGCCACCACGGCCAGCAGCAGTCTTACGCAACAGCAGCAGCAGCTGCAGGCCAAGTACATCAAGTCGAAGCGCCACCAGAGCCGCTACACCAGCCTGCAGCATCCCGGCCACGACTCTGGCAGCTATCTGCACCTCAACTCGCTCTGGTCCATCTGGTATGGGGTGTTGCTCACCTTGTTCCAGGGCTATCTGGCCATGCATGGAGCCTACAGGTTCCTGGGTAAGTTCAAACAACAGATTTCATACGATTTTTACAGGTCTTAAAGAAGAGTAATTATAGCGAAGAAGGTATCAACTGTGTTCAGAATGGTTTTGTAATATTTTTTAAAGCATTTTTGACTACTGAAAACTAAAATATATTCTGTAAATTTTGCTATTTTTATAGGCTGCTCACTGATTCCCTGGAAAATAGAGCCCGTGGCCGAGCTAAATCTGCAGATAGTTCTCTCCGGAGTGGTCTTTATCCTGCTGCCGGTCTTTTTCACATCGGCAGTGTTTAAGGTGAGTGGTTGTTGCTGTGGTTATATTGTTTCAATGGGGTTTTAACCGGGATCATGCTCCTGCAATAATTAACTGTGCATGGGAGTGTCCGTCCTCAGTTGTCCGGGGTGTGTGTATGTGTGTTTGGGTATTTTGTGTGTGTGCTCGGTTGCACTCAATAATTAATTTTTTTGTGTTGTTGGCCTGGGCTCCCAGCTGCCTTTGTGTTTGTGTGAATTATTTTTAGTGGCATTATTCTCGTTATTAAATTTATTTGCAAACAAAAACAGCAGCAGAGGAGCACAAACAGAAGCAGGATCAGGACCAGAGCAGCATACGTTGCGGGTCCTTTTCAGTGCATCCGCAAAATGGCTGACGACACCCAGACACACTCGTGGCGAGAGTCCTCCAATTGTGTGTCCTGTGTGTGTGTGTGCTGCCCGCTCCCTGTGCCAGCTCCCCCAGTGTCTCTGTTTTTATCAGCATAATAAATGCAATTATGGCTTTCCTCCGTCGTATTTCCCCCTGGTCTAGCCAAGCACCTCTGGTACCCCTTTCTCAGCGAACATATATGCAGTTCGGTAGTGTTTTATAGTTATCATCTATCTATAAAGTGTATGGCAGACGACGATGTTGGCAGAGAGCTCGATAGAAAAATACAATCACCGACAAACGGCATTTACTCCACCACCTTTTACTCCTTTCCCCTTCCTTCGACTGCTAAAAGCCACTTAAAATGAAAGACAGGCGGAAAGAGAGGTGTGGGGAGATAGAATGCACTGCAAAATAAATTTATAAAACTTAAAAATGGTCAAGTAATTAAGAGTTGGTATTGATATGAAGATATGGAATTTTAAAGAGTTATTTGTTTTAAGTCATTATCAGTAAGAATAAAACAAAAAATATTTGTTTAAGGAGTATTATTATTCAAATAAATAAATAATTTAACCAACAAATGTTACAAAAATATACATATATGATAAAGAAGTTCTTTAGTTAAATATTAAAAACAAAAAAGAGAAAAAAACTTAAAATACTTTAAAATTTTTAAGTTATCCCATTAAACACAAAGATGTATTAAGTTGATTGCTCTTATTTATTATAAATAACTCCATTTATATTTGTACATTATAATTCAAAAAGAAAATATTTTGTGGGCTTTCTCCGTAGTTTTTTTTTCTGGTTTCTCTGCCGCTTTTGGCTTGGTCTGTGATGTGAGTGCTGTAGTGGCTGTCATTCCAGATCCTCGCCCCCATATCCTCGTATGTTGTGTTCCGTCCAGTTCCCGCTCCATCTGAAAGTTTTCACAAATAATTGGCTTGTTTTTAAAACAAGCGAAATGGAAGGAAGCTGCAGGCATCTGGTGTGGGAGATTGGGGCAGGAGTGGCTCCTGTATATACTCACAGACCCGCAATGGACCGGGGCCATTCGAAGTGACAGCAGGCAGACCATAGATCCTATCACGGGAGGTCCTTTTCCCCCTGTCCCCCTGTCATCGAAAGCATAATTCCATTAAGTGTCTGCTCCAGCCCCAGAACAGTTGATTATACTCCTTTTAAAGTAAGAGTATTGTGGTCTGGGGAAGGGATATATTGCTTGTTAACATTCTAGGATTTAAATGAATTTTAAATTAGCTGTGGTCTTTGTTTAAAAATTTTAAGACATCATTTATTAATATATATTGAATTAAGAATATTTTTCTGACGAATGTTTGGGCATTAGGTTAAATGGGTTCACATCTCATAAAATGTATTTTTCAATTAGTGTAGTATTTTTTATTATTTTATTTTCTATTGAAACAGAAGAGTTTTTAAATCCCAATTGCCAATTGATTCCTGAATTAATATTCATAGGCCCATCACAAAAATCTCTGCCATGACTTTTTCTCCACTACAAAAGAGTATACAAATTGTATGCAAATATTCCCTTTTTACCGCCGCCAGACAGCCACAAAAGCGGCAGCAGCATCAACAACACGAACAGCATCATCAAAAGCGACCAAAAAATGCTCGAAAAAGCTGCCTATCAGTCAGCGGCCAGACAGAGGGCGATGAAAAGCCGGGGAAAACGAGGGGAATTGGGGAAAACTACCGAAAACCGCCAACGAGCCGAGTCACAAAAGGGGTAAACAATCAGTGCTGACACTAGATATTGAAAAATATAAAAGTAACTGGTTGGAAAAAAAATAAATAGGGAAAATCCCAATATTATGAGAACACAGTTGGCTCTTCCCTTGAATAGTATTTGATGTTGAATATATTATTTTTGAACTTGTTTTATTAATATTAATTTTTAGTAGTAGGTGAAAAAGTAGTTTAATTATTTTAGGGTCATAGGAACGCACACACACACGATGTTTGAATGAAATTAAGGTACCATTCGTTGTACATTTATTTAAAATTTGTAGCTCTTGTTCTTATATATTTTTCACCGCTTTAAAAATGAGCTTCATCCGCAAAACTGACAAATTGGCTGCACCGGCTACAGACAGATAGCGGGGGGATTGCGGTCCATCACACGTCGCCGAACGTTTAATAAAAGGCAACAGCAAGGACAACGAACAGAAATTGGTTGCAAACTAAAATCCCAACATTGACCATTGAGGCGTGGCTATCGGAGCCTGGCCAGAGACCCAGAGTCCCGAAATCAGGACAGGGGCAGGGACAGGGACTGGGAACAGGAACATAACAGAAGTTCATAGTTTTTGCTTAGTTTCTCGCCAGCAGACCACCAGACCAGTCACAATTACGACCACTCTTCTACGAGCTGGAGGGAGTATGTGCCGCCCGCCCGCCCGATAAGGCTTTGGGGCAATTGGAAAGTGGGAAAAGCGGTGGTTAGCCGAGTCACCAGCTGGGGGAAAGTCGAGTAAAGTCGGCAAAAGAGCAGGCAACAACGGAGCTGCAAACTGTCACCGCCATAACAACGAGATGCGAAAACTTTGCGACTTTCATATTTGCACAGCATTTGAAATTAAACGAATGAAACGACGGCGTGGCATAGCAGGACCGCACCCCAATCCTACCATATATAGTATGTTGGGAGAGAACAACTAACGAAATGGTTGACCAACACCTCCTCCTATCTGAGGTGGGCTGTTTCGAGTGAAAAACTTTGAAAAGCCGGAAACGAGCTGGTTGATTTGGTACTGGATGCCAAAAGTTTATGATCCTCACTGAGAAGTCTATTATGAATTATCTTAGTTTCATTGCATATAGCAAATAGCATTTGTTGGTCTTAAACGTTTAGTTTGGTATATTCTTAATAGCTTTTATTTACTGACAACAATAGGATAATATTGGTCCTTAAAAATATAATCTCTTAGATCATTTTGCTCATACGGAAAGAGAAAAAATCGAATCACCTCACTCTTCTTCCTGTTTATTTATCGGATAATGTATCGATACTAAAATTGATTTTTTAACATTACTATGGTATATATTTGCGATAAGTTTCTTTTAGATATCGGATCCATTTCAATCGAATTATGTTGCATATTTTGCTATAAAAAACAAGATACCATTTCACCGATAACATTTAGACCTAGAATTCGATAATTTCAATAAATCAAACAGCGACTTTTCCGATATAATATTGATCAAGCTTATTTTAAAACACAAAAAATATGTTCACATACAAAATTCACGCAAACTGCACTTTTTTTTTATCGATATATCTAATCGGACTTATCCTTTCGATTAATCCCTAGCTGGCATCCATGTAGATCTACACTTTTGTATATATATATTTACCAGGCTAAAATTTCTTATAATAGAACAACCAGCTGCCAGGATTTTGTAAACCGTAAACGTTAATGAACGGCTGCACCACATTCCGACAAGAATTTGAGTTGATTCGACGGCGGTGAAGCAGCCGCGAAATGTTGGCACATTTAAATGCATTATCATCCTGGCACTCATCGCCCTCCCTGGCCCCGCCCTCCGGCTGTGTGCACTTCAAATGCATTTTCGCTCTTTGCAAATTGCAATCATTGTTGCTGCTCGAAACGGACCAAAACGAGGCGAAACCAAAACCAAACCAGACGAACCAAACAAAACCGAAACCGGAGCGCAGAAAAACAAAGTGAACGAGTCGAGTCGAGTTCCATTTTCCGGTCCCGGTCCCGGTCCCGGTCCTGGCCTGGCTTCAGTTCCAGCTCCAGCTCCAGATGCAGATGGAGTTGGAGATCCACCTCGAGCCGAAGCTCCTTCATCATGCTGATGTCTGCTTGTTTTTAATTTAAAAGCCCGACATCTCGCATTTATTTATATAACGTGCACGTGATTTTTATGCTCTTTTTTTTCCACCCGCGCTAAATAAATGGCGAACGAGCGTGAGCATATATCTGTATGGATATATATATATGGGAAATAATAGATGCATGTATATTGCATGTGTGCGCGTATATAAATATTTCATTTTGCCATTTGTCACGTGCAACGTTTCCTTTATTTAGTTGCTGTTGTTTATGCGCCAACGCGCCGTATGCGCAATGCTTTGGTTTTTCTCACGCCGCTCAAATCGCTTGCGAGCCCATAAAAAATGCATTAAAACAGGCAACATACAAAAACACTTTTTGTGCGTATTTTTTTTTGCAATTTAGGTTTTCACTCTACACATGTTCAATTGAAGTTTCGTTCCAATTTTGTTTTGTGTGAATTTTGTATGTGCATATGTATATTTTTTGTATATTAATTGCCTCAAGGCCCTAGGGAGGAGAACACTAAACTGTCTGTCCCTCTGTCGGTGTCCTTGTGTGCGGTCAACCTCAGTGGTTGGCAAGGATATTGCTCTGACAGTCCCTGCGGCCAGTCGCCTGTTGCCGGCAATTATGAAGTGTTTTTGCCAAACGAAACAACTGGATAATTTATGCAGAAAATATACTGATTGAACCCGAGGACTCAGAGCCAGGGAATTCGAATTGTGTGGCTGCTAATATGCATAAATGATGGGACAGTATGATTTTGATTAGTATTAAGTTATACGTTGATTTCGACCAAGGACATACATATCAAGTTAAATCTTTAGAAATTCAATGGTCAATCTATCTATATTAACTTTCCGTATATTGAATTTTGAATAGGTATTTGTTAGTTGAGCTAATTACGGGAGTATGAATAGCTTTTTACCTTTTAAATTATCATGTGCTTATCATTTTGTACGTACTAATTTATTTGATTCATATCCTTTTTTTAATTTAAAAATCTATTGGTTGCTCCATTAATTAAACTCAATAAATGTTTTCAATTTAATGTTAGTTAGGCCTTTGTTGGAAATATATTTTAAATTTTTTACAACTTGGAAGTGCAAATGGCTCATTTGATTAATGGTGATTATTAAATTTAATTAAGCTGCGATATAATGAACATTTTTATGTTCATTTTTGCAAGAAGTTCTGTCCTTTACTAAATTAGTTCACCTAATATTCCAGAATATTAAATTGCATATGATATGTACGTTTGCCAGGAAGTTGAGTTGAGCATTTTGGGAAATTTTCAATTTCCGTTCGTGAGCCAGAAGCGAAAGCAAGCTTGAATCAATAACACTAGCTTACAAATTTTGGTATGGAAAATTTCCTTAAAAGAAGGATAGTTGGGAACCATATAAACATTATTTTATCGAATTATAATCTATCTTCACCACCTTTTCTGGATAATCCTTTACAAAAAGAATTAAAATGTGGGATTTAAAATAAAAAAAAAATTTTTGATTTATACTTTTTATGTACAAGCATCATCAGATATATTTTCCTGTAAAAAATAGAAAAGTAACCAAAATTTCATTAAGAATAAGCTCATGACAAATTTAAATTCAAATTCTGTACTAGTGTCTGCAAACTAGTGTATGCATTCATTGCCAAGTCCTCTGACCTCCTAACTTAATCCCGCCCAAATGGCAAATCATTTGCATATGTGAACTATTTTGGCACACACACACACTTGGCACACACTCACGCATACTCCATCTCCCCCATCCCCTGTTCCGACCCACTGAATCCAAACTGCATATTACATTTTAATAATCTCAAATTCTGTGAACTGTTCGTCGACAGGTTGGCAACTTGGCGAACGACGGCATCAAACTGGCCACCGGTGCCAGGGAGCGCCGCTGCACCCTCTCGCCGCAGGATGGCCTCGAGGAGGAATCGCGGGGCGGCACTCTGCGTGCCCTGTGGACACATGGTGGACCCACTGCGGCCTTCGTTCACATCCTGATCGCCCTCTGCCTGCTCCTGCCGCGTCTGCTTCTCGAGGCTCGCATCATCGAGAATGGATTGCTGCCAAAAGGTAAGCTTAATTAACCCGGGGGCACACGTGTGTGGCACACACATTGTATGGCCGAAATCAAGAGCGGAAGGTGCCCATAAGTATGCAACGGAAATGGGACAGTGGAAAAGTGCAGAAAACTGTTGCAATGTTTTTTTTTTTTTGCACTTCCGGGTCTTGATTTTCAATTATTGAACATTATATTTGGTTCACTTGTAAAGGTTAAAGAAGTTTATATATTTCGAAATTAGTAAGAGGAACAACTAGTAGGATAAAGATTTATAGGTACCTTGAATAACATGTGATGTTTTATCAGATATATTATTAAAAGTCTTAAAGTCTTAAAAGTCTTTAGAATAGGGGAATTCAACATTTCCACTAAAAGATTACCAAGAATACTACTTCTTTATTCATTTGGAAGAGAAACAAAGCAAGGCTTTGTTCTTTTGTGGTAGCAATATTTTATGTTTGGATTAAATTAGCTTAGAAAATGTCTTATGGGTTAATTTCATAAAATCCTCATGTAGTTTGCAATGACGACCAACAGAGAAGTGTTACTGAAAGGGTACTCAAACTTTCGACGCCCTCAAAGTAGCTACTTTCAGTGCTGTTTTTTATTGCATGTCGATTATGCATTTCCCGCGGATAAAGAGGGAGCAACAGCGAATAACCCGCGCACAATGTTGCCGAGCACGAATTGCATTTATCGCCATTTTCATTGTTGTCAAGCATACGCCACGTTGTACATTGTCATATTGATGACGGCTATGAGTCGCGCGCTGACAACTATTAAAGTGAACATGAGTGCAGTCGATGGGTGGGCTTAAATCAATCATAATTCCCATTGTCAATTCAACGAATTCATTATGGCTTTTAATTCCATTTATTGTCCTTAAAACGAACTGAAATTGCCATCAATTTGGGGCATCCTTTGGGAGGATGGCATTCGAGCGGGCCAATTTAAATATGTTGCCAGCAAAACTGTTTAACCAAGAAGTTTAGGATGCTCCGAAGGACGCTTAACAAAGTGAACTTGGGGGAATATGCGAGGGAAGCTCGAAAAAATTCCGAGGAACAGCCGGAGCAGCCGGAACAGCAGCTTCAAAGGAAATCGCTGGGGAAATCTGCTGGCCAAACATCTACACTCCGTGTGTGTGAGTGTATGTGCTTCTGTGTGGTGTATATATGGTGTGTATGTGTGTGTATATTCATGACCGCTCGGCAAACAAAAACACAAGCGAAGGAGCGAGCACACAGGCTAACAACCGCAGGAGTAAACACTACCCACACGAGCACACGGACAGGCCAGGACAAGGCAGCTCGAGGGGAACAGGTTGACAGGGAACGAGGTGGCCCATTATGGCCAGCAATAAGCCATGTTAATAACAAGGCAGCGGCAACAGAAACAGCGACGGTGCCAGCGGAAGCCAGCCAAGCGACCCAAAACTGTGCAAATGTTGGCCAACTGTCGGCAGGACACCAGTCGAATGGGTCCTGGGCCACAGCAGCCGTTGCAGGCAGGCCTCTGTTTGTATATCATCCCGGGGGCCCCGTGAGTTTGTATGCCTGTGCGCAATCGGATCGAAGGGACTCACATGATGCCGTCGTCCTAGCACAGTAAACTAATTCCACACTTAATGACAGGCGGGGCAAAAAAAAAAAAAAGGTAAATGAAAATGTAAACTTAGAATGAGCTGATCCGGATGGAAATGTGATATCGAGGTTTAAGGATCCTAAAAGGATTTAAAATAAAAAATTAGCAATAAGTGCTCAAGGAACCTTGTCTATGGAAAAGTTAATCTTGACAGTCTTTGACATTCCTATGGAAGCTGGGTGACAACTCCCCTATACAATACTCGTTCATCACTGTATTATATAGAATGTCTCCCAACTTTCTAAAGCACTTCAGAAAGTTCACATACTCTGCGCCCATAAAAAACGAACGTGAAAACTCCGCTAAATGGCCACGAATGGGGAACGTTGCATGTTGACGGGGTTGGCAACAATGATGGAAGGTTACAGCTGCAGCATCGGCAGGCAAATCAAAATTAACTACACTTGAAGTGGGTCCGAGTTGGAGTCCGAGTTCCATTCGAAGTCCCCGGACAGCAGTTGGTAGCGAATTGTATGGGGTTTATTGAACCAGAGGGAAAACGGAAAAGAGAGAAAGACGATGACCAGCAGGGTGGGACAGGGCAGTGGGAGATTTCATCCTGTCCGCGCGGAGTAAATTAAAAATGTGGCAACGACAGCGGGGCATCGGGCTGCATTGGCATCATAAAAACCGTGACGAGGCGGGCTTAAACTCAGGCCGACTGGCTCACTGACTGACTGACTGACTCGCTGGCATGTCCCGTGGCCCTCTCCATGTGATTTTTCAATTAATTTCGATGTTATTTTTGTTATTTCTTCTATTGCACCTCCTGCAGCTGCTCCTGCTACCCCAAAGTCGATCTCTTGTCGCCGGCAGACATTTTGCGGTGCTTGGGTTGCGAAATTCATGCTGGGCGGGAAATTGTTTTTCCAAAACCCATCCGCCGCCGCCACCCGCTCTTAAATTAGAAAATCATTGGCACAAATAAAATGTGCAGTCAAAGGCAAAGTTGCACTTGGCGAAATGGAGTAAATGGCTGCGACGGGACCTGGTAGAAGGGAGTAGTTGGTCAAGCTAAGTGCAATGCCTTGTCGCGCGACTCCTTTTGGCCGTTTTCACGCTTGGCTAAATGGCTTTCCTCCGCTCCTTGCTTTTCCTTTTTCTGCCTCTCCGCAATTTGTCAACGGGTCTGACATTCTTAAAGACTTAAGCCGGCCAAGATTGGCCTGTCGTGGCCAGTTGACGATGCGCTTATGTCTGTAAGTTGAGGATTATAATTTCCGCGAGCAATTAGACAATTTTTCACTATCCATTGATTGATTGATAGGCTTTGACTAGAGCTGAAAACTTGAAAGTAGAAGTTGGTTTTTTTTGTTAAATCATAAAATTGGGACCACAAAAAGAGTAAGTAATGGGCAAGGAGAATCGTAAAATATTCCTTTTAAAAGTTTCCCTCAACTCACATTAAAAGGCTGCAAGGAAAAGCCATTAAAGGAGTGGCAGGCAGCGAATGCATTTCATTTCATGATTATGTTTCATAAAATTCCCCAAGATTATTAACGACTTTTGAGAAATTACGTATACGCAATGTTAGCCCAGGCAGCTGTTAAAACTGGACCAGAAACTGGATGAGCAGGAGAAGCTAACAAATCTTAAATCTCTTAAACATATTAAAGTCTGTAGTTATAAAAATTCCGCCCAACTTCTCTCAGGCCCAACACAACGCCTCATTTACATGCCAAAGTAAAAGGAAACTTATTAAAATAATATAATAAAAAAGTTTCCAACAGCCGCCAGCTGTCGTCAGCAGCGAGAAAAGAAAACAAATAAAGCGTTAGGTGTTCCAGGGATGGCAACCTCATGGAAGTGGTCACAATTCATTAATTAATCTCATTAATAGATGACACAAAAATCACTCGGAAAGACATTTTATGGCGAAATCACTTATACGCCATGGCGTACTCATAAATAATTAATGCAGACATCTCGGGCGGGAAACAAATGAAAATCCAGATGAGATCGGGGAGTGGATGGATAGCAGTAGGCCCCTGCCAACACTGCGCCATATTGAGCGCATAAAAGGCTGCTAAACAGGCTCGCTCAGATTACCACGTAGCCTGGCCTGTGAGGGGGCGAGGGGTGCGATTGAAGACGGGGTGGATTTCCCTGACGGGTGGTCCGGAAGTGGCTGACTGCCCACTGGGGGTGCTGGCCTCCGGCACAGCAGCGGTTAAGATAATGTAACTAGGCCGAATTTGAATCGTTTGATTATTGTGCAATGTAAGTTATTAATTTTTATATTAAGGCCTTGGCTAAAGCAATTATTAGTAGTTATCAAAGTTTAAAATAAATATAAATAATCAGTATTATAAATGAAATTTCCACATTTTCAAAAACCTTGTCACCCTTACAAGCTGATATCTATAAATCTGACCGCAACTGTACATTGGCTCTTGCTTAGAGCCGAGAACTTATCATTATTCATGCTAAAGACTTAACGAGCGCGAGTTTGAGATGGCCGCAGGAGGCGGCGGAGGATGTGGGATCGTCTTATCACAACTATTACCGCAGCGGGAAGGCAAGCGGAAAGAGGGGAAGTCCCTGCCTCCGGTGGGCGTGGCCCGGGTTGGATTTGCGCATTTTCATTACTCTTATCCTCAGTGCTCTGGACCGCTCCGCTTCGCTCCCGAGTCGTCGTTCGTCCTTCCTGCGTCCTCCTTTTGGCCGCTCATTCTCGTTGGTGTTATTGTCATTGCCATAATCAAGGGGGGGAGTCAGAGGAGGCAGGCAGGCTGTCGCAGGCTGGCAGGACGACTTTGCCTGCGGGTTAATCTTCAGATTCTCGGTGTTGTCGGTTTTACGAGCCACTTGCCGCTCCGCCAGCATCGTCTTTGGCAATAACAACAACGACGACATATTATTATGGCAGCCATTGTTGTAATCCCGCCTCGGTTCGTGTCTTTTGGTCTTCGCCCTCGGTTTCGGGCCATTGTCTTTAATATTTGTTCAGCAATTCCCTCATTCTGGTTGGATTTTTTATTTTATTTCCAACCGCCCGCCGGGTAAGTGTCCTTAAAGCAGCGCAACCCAACTAATAAATTATTTTATGAAAGTGTTAACTTGGCGATTTTCCGCTTTTCTTTCTCTTAACCACTCCATTATCAACTAGGCCACTCTCTCTCTCTCTCTATATATAGGAAATATCTGTATGCCAAGAGCAACATCATAAAGTAAACTAATTAGAAAGCTTTATAGGAATTTTCACAAAGCTCAGCGCCATCTTAACTGGGCTAAGACAAACAAATTTGTGGCTCTGAGGCGGCTTTAATTGGGTTTAGTGTCTACGGAAGTTCGAGGCTAACGGGATGAGTGTGAGTTTTCATGGAATGCCCGAGGGGTTGAGCACAGTAAGCAGGTAGAATATTCCCAGGGGCAGAAAAGTTACCTGCCTGCATCCCAAAAGGCTGCAATGGTTAATAGAAGTGTCCGGACTTAGTCGTGAGTGATTGCCTTTCAATTAACATGTTCAATGTTTTGGAATTTTACCAAAGCCGCCCAGCTTACCACAAGATTTCAGGCTAAAGCAGAGTATCCTTTCATGTGGTATTTAAATATTTGTGTACGCACTTAAGGTGAAATTTAAAATGTTTTATCTTAACTCTCTTTAGTTTTTCTTACGTTAACAAGTGATTTTGACGAGCTGAAGAGCACTCATATCCATCTTGTAAATTCTGAGCCCCCTTACACGTGTGTTTATTGGTTCGACAGATTGGAATCCCGGCACCGCTTGACCAGTCGAGGGATGTGGTAGCATTGCCAAATCCTGTGTAAAATCCCCAGTTCCCAGTTCATTCCAATAAATCGCACACCGTAGGGAGCGCCGACACCGTAATAAACATGGATATTAGGCTTTGCCCCGGAGCAAGAGTTAAGCCTCTGCAGAGCACAGAATCCTGCAACCTAAATGGGGAAACACATATGAGATGGGGATATGGCAGATAGCATAAGTCGATCGGGGGCAAAAGGCTGGGTGCGACACGTAAACATGTTGCAAATGCGCGCCTAATTAGGACCTTCAAATCTGGCCGGGACAACGGGAGAGGTGGTGGCTAATGGTCGAGCTGTGTGCATTGTTTTGCCATTTGGGCTGAATCGAACTGAAATGGGATTGGCAGAGAAATAGTTTTGCTTTCCTTTTTTCCTTTCAATGGCCAAAACAATGGTTCGCACAGTACAGCTTCCCTTTTGTCTGGACATTCCAGTTGGCTTGGTCTGCGATTGGGTTTAGGTTAGCTTTTTGCCTTGATTGGGATTAGGGCTGCCAGAGAGAGTATCGATATATCGTGTCGGATGGATGACTTAGGTGAAATTCTAGAGTGATACAACAAATTGTTATTTGTATTATTTATCATTATATCTTATTGATATAATATAAAATATAAGTACAATACGAATTTTTCGATTGATATTCGACGAATCGGGATACCAAATTAAGTTTGCAACCCAAAAGCGTTTAATATTATCGGTAATATCGATTATTATTCTATAACGGACACTTTCCTAAGGATTCTTCTTTTAAACTTAGCAATAATATAATTAGTTTCGGCATTATAAATTATTCAAAGCTAGATTAAAAAGCAAATCACAATAAAAATTTTTTGTTGTGTTACTTCAACTTTTAATAAAATCGATTCTATCGGAAATATCGATTATAATTCTATAAGTAATGTGGATTAAACGTTTCATTTCAACTTTTTGTTGCACTCAGTGAAGTTTTTGCTCCGATAGTAATATCTAATCTGAACATATATAATAGTTTTTTTTATCTTAAACTTTTAATATTATCAATGTTATTATGGGTATATACGATGCCTCAAAGTAATGACCGAAATTTGATTTGGTAAAAATGGCGATGTGATTTTTTTGATATGCTTTCAACATAGTATCTGGATCGATTTATCAGAACCGATTACCTTTCCAGGGTGTATGCCCATCTCTAATAAGGATTCATTGGGATTCATGGCAATTCGGGCAAAGAAAGTCAGGCCCGGAGGAGGCATCAATTTGCTTTTCTCTTTTCCGCCTCACAGACACACTCGCATCTAATAATCAACTGGGCGTGGATTATAGAGGCCCTGCTAGTATCGATGCCTCATTTAATTAACGATTGCCACACAGATGGGGAGAGCGGGCGAGTGGATGAAAATGCTGATGGCAGATGGAGAATAGTCCTGCATCCTGTTCATTACATCGCCTCATGTTTATTCAAGGGGTGTGTGCGAGTGCAAGTGTGTATGTTTGTCCTTAACAGGTGCTTACCATGTAATCCTGCGTGATGTATTCCAATTAGATGCCAAGCATCTTGGCTGCTGCCTGAGTTCAAAGCAATTAATTCTATATACTTGAGCAGCCATCAATCTCAACCCCTCATCTCTGTTTCCGTTTATTGCAGAGCAAATTTGGGCCACTGAATTGGACTTTGTTGTGATCAATCGACGCAATTTGATGGCCATGTCGGTGGGACCCACCCCCACATCCGCATCAGCAGCCTCCAAGCAGCAGCACCATCACCAGCAACAGTCCAGGCTGAACCTAACCGCAACGAGTTTGGAGCAGGACGAGGAGGACTACTTCAACGATACCATGTTCACGGCCCTCCGTGGAAAGCAGGTTCCCTTCCCGGGTCAGGGTCCGGGTGTCGGGGGCAATAACAACTTGTTCGACCTGCGACCCGACAAGACTGCTGCTGGCGGCAGGAAGGCGGCCAAGACAACAGCCACGACCAGGACAACTTCGACCAAGCTGGAGGCTGGCAGGGGCCAGTACTTTGAAGTGCCCGATTTAATTAATCAAGATATCGACGAGGAGGAGCGCCAGGAGCTCGAGGAGGCCATGCGGGGGGACAACGACGATGACGGGGAAGAGCAGGAGGAGCCGGATCCGGATGAGGGCACCGTCATCATGCCCGATTTCGATGAGTTGATGCCAAAAACAACCGCTGGTGGCAACAAGTTGAATGTGGAAAATTGGCAGACGCTTGGGACCCTCGGAAAGGAGAGGAGCAGCAGCACGAGTACTAGTACCACTACGACTCCTTCCACAACCACCAGAACAACCACAGCCAGCACCACCACAACGGCAGGGACAACTACAACTAGTAGCAGCACTACTACCACGACAATGAAACCTCCTATGATGGCAACCAGCCGGCAACCGCAGCACCATCACCATGGAAAGCCGCGGAAGCACCACAAGCACCACAACAAACAACGGCAGCAGACACCGCGTCGCCACCACGTGGCCTCGCACGAACAGGCGATCCTCGAGAGCTTTCCGGAGGAGGAGACCACCACTCGCGACAGCAGCATTCACCGCGTGAAACCGGAGGTCCTCCCGGAGGTGGCCATCCCGTCGACACCTGTATCCACCTCCAACTCGAAGATTATAGCCATTAAGCCGAAAAACCAAAAGCGGAGGATCTCGAAACGAGCTGCCGGAGTAGAAATCGAACCGGAATATTTGCTCGGTGACTCCACCATAAGTTCTAGCGAGTTTGTGGCCAAGTCCAATGAGGATGAGCCAGAGGAAAGCGAGGACTTTGAGCTGGAGGACGGGGACTTCCAGGCGGTGCCTGCCCTGAGCCCGGCGCCTCCAACGCCATCACCCGGCAAGGGTAATGGGCAGGATTACGTCCGACTGGATGGCTTCGCCGGCATGCTGCAGCTCTTCTTTGGCATTGACAAGCCCATCGATGTGGCCATTTTCTCGCAACCGCCTAGCGCGGAGTTTGTGAATCTGTTGTGTGCCCTGCTGGTCTGGTCGGTTCGATATCCGGCCGTCTTTTGGAACACCTCAAAGGCCTTTGCCTGTGTCTTTAGCCTCCAGATGGTGGTGGCTGCTCTGGATATCATCTTGGGCTATGTGGGTGTCTCCAATTTGTACAAGCTGCAGATCTATGCGGAGGCCATGCCAGTGCATCAGCCGGGACTCATTTTGAATGCCGTGGTGACGCTGGCCCTGTACCTACTATCCACCGCTTTGGTGTTGGCCTCCTCGATGGTGATGTACTTGTACGGACACGGACGCCTGGCCACGCGAATGCGGGATCGATCCATCATCACTCTGAAGAGCAACCAAACCTGGATATATTTCGCCCACTGCGCCTCCCTGTGCTTCGTCCTGGCACTGGCGGTGGTTAAGGCGCCGCTACTCAACGATCTCAGTGCCACCTACAAGAACAACCTGCATTGTCCCACTTTCTTAGCGGGTGAGTAATGGTGTGAAATGGATTTATGTGGCCAGATCCTTCTGGGGTTGGTTCTCAAATATTATTTGTATATTTTGTGAGGAAATATAGAGATTTCATTCGTAAAATTTGATTTCTTTGTTTAACGCGTACCACGGATTAATGAACCTTGTGAAATCTGCATAATTTGATATCCAAATCAATGTGAACTAACATCTTGAACTCTGTCTGTGGTGTCTTGTGTGGCCTAAGCCAATTAGCGGCCTTGTTTAGGCTTGGGCTTTGGGGTTGACCGGGCCTTAATCGCCGGGTACATAACCCGAGCGCCCATCGTCGAGACAAAGGCCTGACGGCAAAGGTATTGAGTGACACTCGAAGCGAGACAATCAAACTGCAGACTCGGTCCAATTAAGCTGTCAGACGCCTGCCTAAACCGAATTACGTTTCAATTTCTGCTTTCACATGCACTGATAAAAATTTTAACAGAAACCGAGGCTAACTTATTTATTTATTTATTATTATACCCTTGCAGGGTATTATAATTTCAGTCAGAAGTTTGCAACGCAGTGAAGGAGACGTTTCCGACCCTATAAAGTATATATATTCTTGATCAGCATCAACAGCCGAGTCGATCTAGCCATGTCCGTCTGTCCGTCTGTCCGTCTGTCCATCTGTCCGTCTGTCCGTCTGTCCGTCTGTCTGTTTCTACGCAAACTAGTCCCTCAGTTTTAAAGCTATCTGAATGAAACTTTGCATAGAGTCTTCTATATACTCTCACTGCTATATATGTCGGAACGGGCCGGATCGGACGACTATATCATATAGCTCCCATACAAATGTTCGATAAATTTTTAGAAAAAAAATTATAACTTGGCTGTTTTTCAATATTTTTGCATCATTTTTGAGATATAGCCACTTTATATTATTACAGAATTTTGGTAAAAATTTTATGAAAATCGGACGACTATATCTTATAGCTGCCATAGGAACGATCGGAAAAAGAATAGGAAAAAAATTATAACTTCGTTGTTTTTCAACATATTCTTATCTACTTTTAGAAATAAGCTTCTTTTATTATTTCAGAATTTTGGTAAAATTTTTATGAAAATCGGACAACTATATCATATTGCTGTCATATAAACGATCTGTAAATGTGGAGAAAATGTAAAGCTGGGAATGTAAAACTGTAACTGTCAAACTGTAAACATAATAAGTATAAGTAAAATGTAATGAAACTCTGTTTTGTGAGTGTTTTCAGCATTTAAATTTATAATATAAACATCAAAACCAATCTGCAAGGGTATACAAACTTCGGTGTGCCGAAGTTAGCTTCCTTTCTTGTTTTTATTTATTATCTAGTCAAAAGACGTTGTCTTGGGCATCATTTGAGACTTAATTTACATTCCTCCTTTAAAGTAATCATAAAAGAAATTTATAAAACAATAAAAACTAAACAGAAATATAAGAAAAATGAATTTGCAACGTTCCTCAGATAGAAAAACGCTTAGAAAAGGCTTTTAAAATTATTAGTTTTTGTAATTCATTTAATATTAAACCATTTTCGTTCAGTGCCCCTTTTCATAACCGCTCTTTCTCTATTTTCGCAGCTCTTGTTGGGGTAACGCACCTGCTGCTGTGGATCGTCATCTGGCTGTGCCTCACAATCAAGCGGCGCTGGCACTTCAAGCTGCCGCCGTTGGACAGCTCTTATGGCGGCCTGCTGGGCAAGGCCAGTGCCCAGCCGCTCCTTATGGCCAGCGGCCAGCGGACGGGCAGCAACTCGAGCAGCAGCGGCTGCAACTCCACCAGCACCACCGTGAACGGGGGCGACTCCTCCAAGCCGGACATGATGAGCACCGCCACCAGCACGGAGCTGGGCATGGGAATGGGCGGGGGTGGCGGAGGCGTTGTGGGCGGGGTCATGGGTATGGCTGCCCAGGAGGACATCTACTGGCCCAAGCTGACGCCCAGCTCGCCCAAGCTGAAGGTCACCTTCAACGAAGTTACGAGTACGTCTGATGATGTCCTACTAATTGGTGACCAAGAACAAACTGATGGCAAGCGGTAAAAAATCGTTTTTTAGCTACAACCAACAAAAAATATAAAAAACAACCAAACAAAGAGCATTGCGGGTTCGAAGCGACGTACTCCGTACTCCGTTTTTGTCCGTTCTCTTGACTCTAACCTTAGCAACTAGTTTCATTTAGTTTTCGTTCACAAACACACACACACACACACTGCACCACCCTCAAGACCACATGAACCACGCCCGTTTCCAGCACCAAATAATCAGGCATTCCATGTGATTTTGTTTTCGTTCGTTTCCTAGACTGCTCTGTTCATTCATTTGTAATTTATCGGTGTGTTTCCTCTGCACGTCCCATTGGGGAAGCCCCTGGTTTTGAAACTAATTGCCCAACACTAGTCATTAGTGCAGCGCTCGTCGCCACTCACCTAATTTTCCCTCATTTTCCAGCACTATTTTTCAGTTTTAAATATTCGTGCGTGCTTCTGACATTATTCGCCTCTCTTAATATTACCCACATTTTGCGTTTTTGTTTAGTCTAAACTCTTTTGTTTGTCCACTAAAACGATTGCTGTTCCATTTAACATAACAAAACGATTTATCTATATACATATACTATATATATATAGTGAGACATGTATGTATAGAGGATGAAGGATAATGATGAGAAACTATTTTGTTCCGCTTGTCGCCTGTTTTTTAAAAACGATTCTTTTCATTTCATTTTGTCAATTGTTTGATTTACTAGAACTTAATTACTACTAACTCTAGCTAATTGAGTGTGGGCGAATTGTATTTCAATTAACAACTAAATTACTACTAAAAACAAATCGTTCGCACACTGTGTGTTGTTGTTGTCGATGTCGCCGTGTTGTTGTTGTTGCCGCTGTTGGTCTTGGTAATTTGTTTAACTAACTGGAAAGCCATTGAACTAATACAGATAGCGTTGAAACGGATTCAATGGGAAAGAGAATGAATTTTAAAAATATTTATAAATTGCTTTGAAAATTTCTATGGCTTTCGATTACATTTTTGATTAGGGTATTTGAATGCTTTGTAAAGTAAAATTCTGACGAGACTTTTTTGTTATTAGTAAGGAGATATTAAATAAAATTATTAAAGTCAGTCAACTAAACTTTAAATAGAAATAGAATATAGAAACTATCAAATCCTGAATTGTAGTAAACTTCTCCCTAAGACCTAAAGGCAACCAACACAAGGCGACAATCCCATTTGATCCTAACACCATTCCTAACCACTCTGTATCATCCTTTAGCCATACGAGCCGTGGAGCCTCGATATGTTTTGCCAGTGCTGCGGGGGAAATTGACGACGGCGAGTACGCGACACTAAGGGCAGCTACCGCCGGCGCCGTTGTGGGCATCACCATGGGCAGCATGAAGAGCGGCAGTGCCGGCGGCGGCATCAGCTCCACCTCCGTGGGGATCAGTCTGCTCCATCTATCCGAGTACGACGAGCTTCCGCCGCCGCCTCAGCCGTCGTCGTCAACTGCTAATCACCAGCAACAGCAGCGGCATGCCCAGCCGTTTGCCCATGGACAGCCCCATGCCCATGACTATGCCAACCTTAGTGGATTGGGCGGCATAAGCGATGACAACATCTCTGAGGAGGGCAAGCTGCTGGCCTGCGTGCGCGACGACAGCATCACCTACGCCTCCACCAGGGACCTAGAGCCTCCGCATCCGACCGCTTCACAGGCTCCGCCTCCTCCGCCGCCGCTGCCCGTCAAGGGTGGGCCCACTCCACAGCCGCCGGCGATTCTGCCTCACCCAGGAGCAGCTATCTATGGTCGGGCCCCCCAAGCCATGCCCGAGATGATGCAGTTGTCGCCCGACCACCACCCAAATCCACTTCAGCATTCCCTGCAGCAGCAGCAGCAGCAGCATCCTCTTCAGCCGAAGCAGCTGCCGCCGCCACACCATCCCCTCCAGCAGCAGCCGAGCAATCCGCACCAGCATCTAGTCAGCCCCTTGGCACCGGTCACGGTCGCAGTTCACACCAACGAAGCGCATGTAAGTGAAGGAAGCGGAGTGTATTCCTATTGTGGTTTCCGAGATACTCTAGCATATCAATGGGGAATGGGGGATGTCAACTACTAAGTAAGAGAGGTTTTAGGTGTGAGAAATATCTAAAAGACTTGGACTAATCTAATACCTTGGATTATAACTTATAGGTCACCATTTAAAATCACTTTTTAATTACGATTTCTATATACTTTATTGTTTATTATTTTAATTTTTATTTTGCTCAGAGTTATACATTTTCTATTGAGCTTAACTGTTGGTGGTTTCTTAAAACTTTGTAATATTTTGTGTGTGTTTATCTTATATCAGAAGAAAATGTAGTTATTAAAGCCATAACTTAGCATAGTCGAGCGTTTATGAGCATTGTAGATTTGTCTGACAGATTCCGCCTTTACAAAACAAAACAAAGAGTTAGCCGGTCGTACAGCTAGGGTATTCCCCTTCAGTGCAAGGCGCAGTGAATAATTTTGTGCTGTTGTTCGTGATTTGCATGTGGTATTGCAGAGGGAGGCGCGGCGAGGCTGCGTTGCCATGTAGGGGCGTGTAGTATGTCACGCCCTCGGAGCAACGGCAACGGCAGCAGCCCCGAGATTTATGTTTGCTGTTATGAGACAGCATAAATCAGTGCCAGTGCCACAGACAGCGACATGGATTGGGGGATTGGACTGGGTGACGGCGACAGTGTCCGAATTAGTGCTCCACTTGATGAATGGCCCGGGCTGTGAAGGGTTCCGAGACTGGCCCCGATTTGATTTGACTTGATTTCATTTTCACTTGCAGACCGGTCACAACTGAAGCAGAGCCCCCGCCCCCCTAGATCGCTCATTATCCTAGCTGCTCCTTGACCACTTTCACTGACCTCCCGCTCTCTCTCTCTCTCTGTGTCTCTCTATCCCTGTCCCCAGATCGCCTCCAGTTCCACACCCCGTTGCCTGCGCCGCGCCGATTCGGGCGTTCCCAACGAGGCGCTGACGCCTCGCAGCGACACCACCTCCACCACCGAGAGCACCAACACCACATCACCACCGGAGCGCGCACCCTCCGAGTCCTCCAGCGGCGTCCACTCGGGTGAGGAGCGTGAGCTGGAGGTCATCATACGGCCGCGGGCCAGCAGCAAGCCGCCGCCGCGTCCCCCACAGCCGCCCATCCAAGAGGAGCCCTACGGTCGTTGCACCAACATGCGTATGTCCAGCTTTAACGCCGACCCCCCCGCCATCCCGTCGGCGGCCATCAACAGTGCCACGCTGCCGCTACAGCGAACGGTGCCCGAGCAGAGGTTCGACTACACGGCACACTGCAGCACGATGCCGCTGCCGGTGGGCTGCCACAGCCAGCAGCTTGCCGGGAGCGGTGGCTATGCCTCCACCTCGGCGATGACCAGCTCCATGGGCGGCGGCTCCATGCCACCGCCTCCCCCTCAAGTGTCCAGCTTCAAGACGCCCAGCATGCACTATGCCAACGCAGCTGTGGCCCTAGGCAACGGTAACAACAACGGCAACGCCAACATCGGGGGTCAGCCACCGCATACCACGCTACCGAACGGGGTGCGATACTCGAATCCGCACTTCCTGCGCCGCCTGCCGCATGTGACCAAGGCGGCGGAGTCGCCGTACGGACACCTGGGCTACGGAGCCGGCCACCACGCATTCGCCAAGCTGCCGCATGAAACGCATCCCACCATTCCGGAGGATCGCGACTCGGCCAACTACTCGATGGCCTCGGACCAGGACTGTGGGCTGTATGTGACGGCCCAGCTGCACTAGGATGGGACTGGAGGATCATCTACTATACCTTGCTATAACCTTAGATTCTAGCTTTGCAATCCTGATTGCACTACGACATACAAACCTATAGAGTTGCTTTCCATTCATGTTCGTTTGCGGACTTCTTTACATCATCAAATCCAAAAAGCAATTGTTTTTCAGCTGTAGCATGATGATCCAAACTACCCGATATTGCAAGGATATTTTAAAAATATTTAATGCAAGATGTTTGAATTTTGTTGAGTAGAGAAAAGCTTTTTCTTTTACCAAGAACTACGAATGGGTCAATGTGTGTTGTAGTGAAATTTAAGCTGAAATCCCATAGATTTAGGATCCTGGAATGTCGTATAGCTTAATCCGTAATGTTCTAAGTTAGCCTCTCGGTTTTTGTACAGCTCCGGGCCCCCAAGAGACGCCATACCAAATCCACTAATCTTCCAAAGGATCAGCTGGTGACCGAATCAACCTTCATTTGCTTTGCCCACACGATGATCCACTCAAGAACGTGGCACAACCTGCCACTCTGAAGACCCACGCAGAAATTACCATTTAACTATATCTACATCTAAACTACACCTACATACATCTACGGCTAAATCTAAATATATATTTATATTTATATTTATACATATATGCTATGCTCGTATACAATGTGTAAGATAATAAGCTAATCGTGTTTAAGTAATCAATGTAAACTAAAGTTTATCATATCATATATGAATGAATATCTATAGCTTAGCGTAAGGCCCTAACATATACAAACTAATCTGAAAGGAATAAAATATCATAGCTCGATCATGTGCAAGCACTCAAAGTATTTTCCCCTAAGCAATTTCTCTAATCGAAACGAAAACAAAAACAGAAGGAACAAAAGGCATACGAATTTAAGCTGCAATTCTATGGTTTTTACTGTAAGGATACACTGTAAAATGGCAAATAGTAATTTTATGGCACTAACTAGCCAACACGTTATGCTTCTCCAGCTAGTCGGCATAGATGACAGGTACCCAGCAAGGCTTTCGGCATATGTACGAGTATTCTCTATGGTCTCTCAACGCTTACTGTTTAAGATGAATGTAAAATGTAATGTAACAAAGCGACAATATGAATATTATCTAATGTATGATACTAATGACTACTATCCGCGGCCCATACATACATATCTCACATGCACAAGACTCTTGACCTTGGACTCCTGCACGCTGGGGTGTCTGAGCTCCCGTACACCTGCTTATTAAGTTTTATTTATTGTGCCCCTGCGTAAGTAGATAAATATCTTTTAGATCGGATACTCTCTTTAGAATCATCGAACTCCAATTCAGCATATTTCATGGGTAAGACGATTGCGCAGAGAGCATTCGATCGACCGGCCGTATTTATTTTCGTTATAAAGACTGATTAGTAATATAATACATTTCGAAATGCACTCCCATCACAGAACTTTTTAGAAGAGATCCGAAAATAGCTTGAGAAAATCATTGCAATGATACGATAGAGGATAGGCCATAAATATGTATAGTTTAGTATGTCGTCATCAACTTGGTTCCTTTGAGAAACGCACTAAACTAAACGAAGTATCAGCAGCTAAAGAAACAAACAACTTTTGTAAGATAATTTCGAATCAATTAAAGATTAATTCATAGGAAATATCCAAGAGAAATTAACAACTTATTTAATAACCTGGGTTGGGACATTTTCTGCGCCTGCAAGGAAAACCTGTACATGAAAATAAGGTTGAACCCAATACCCGTATGGCGGCGCAAGCATCCAAGAACATTTACATTTAAAATTATAAACCAATAAATGTTTAAATTTATATATACATTATACGGATTAAATGGTTTATCAATGGTAAATAAAGAAATACCACCGCTTTATGTAAAACCCCAACGACAATCGTCTTTTATTGCGGGCGGAAGAAAAATACCTGTGGGTAAAATGCAATAAAACTCGGGGGTTTTGCTTTATTAGAAAACAATTTTTAATGAATTTTCTTTTGTTTTGTTCTTTAAATGTTTTTCATTAAATTTTCTCATTAGTTTTAGTTTCACACAATTCAAGTTTCTGTGTTCATCAATATTAATAATGCCTTTTCGCAATTTTTAATATAATTTTAGTTTGTATTTTTATTTTTGGTTTTGTTTTTTACATATTTCTTTCACAGTTTATTGTCGTTTCTCGACCTTCGATTGTTGTCGAGATATTAAAATACAATATAAGGTGTTCAGGGCCCTCAGCGAGAGCGCTGAGCGTCGCCTTTTAATCAATTTAGTTCAACATTTGCAATAAATGATATATTTTCGTGTTGTTGATCTTCTTGTGTGTGTAGTGTAATTACGTAGCCTGTCATTCAGATTGAACTTAGTAAATAGCGTTTTGTTTCTTGTATTGGTTGCCATTGAAATAACTTGCCATAATATATCATTTGCGTCATTAACGATTTCTATATGCTTTTGTCTCTTGTCTTTGTCTTTGGTGTGGCTTAAATGTAACGAATTCTATAGGAATCCTAATTAGAATCTCTTGTCTGACTTTACGGTAGAAAAAATGCCCTTTACAAAATCTTCGTTCAAGTGCGCTCTATAATTGTTCCTAAACTTTCGCTATTAAATTCACCAGCCAATCGCTTTCGAAAAGGGCATTTCGAACTCGACCCTGCCAAGGTTGGTTGTAGTTCTGTACTTCCTTCCGCTGGTTTTCTGATTTATCAAAGCATTTCTGAATGATCGCTTAAGGATAGCAGTGGAAAAAATATAAAGGTAGAGATAGAGAGAGATTTTTTAGAGTAAGAAAAGTATTTATGGGGCTCGTGAGGAGTGGAGTGTACAAATCTGATTATCCATAATGTATGTGTATCGGTACCTATGTATGTATGTTCTTCTGATTTCTATATCGTATAATTAGTTTCTGGAAACCTCGCTGGTAGTTTAACTCTTCCCAAATATCTGAAGCGCGATCTCTTCCTTTCTGATGTCCGATCCTGTTCTGTTGTTGTTTTGCAGCAACATTTTGAATGCACTTTCCCTGTGTCCTGGCGTTTCCTTACGTATCTCTTAGTTGTTTATCTCTGATATAGGAAGCTGTTGCTTGGATGGATATGCACATGTCAATTTACTATTTACTCTGCCCCCGTATGCGTGCTAACTGTGTGTAACTGCTGCTGCTGCTGTGTGTAGTTGAATGAATGGACGGAAAGGTTCAACTCAATATCCGTAGCCATGAGTGATGGGAAAAATAACGTCGTTTACTGGATAGGAACAATAGCTAAGACAAACCTATCTCCCTGACCTACATATGTCTGGATATATAAAAGTAACTGCTCAAATCGGTCATCTGTCGTCTCTCTGATATGTTTGCTGAAAGTGATCCTCCTGACCGGAAATGCATTGCAAAATGTTGCCCAAAAGAACGCCGAAAAAGTATCGCAAACCAAGATGCAGTAAATTGCAAACTATTCCTCCCATTTCCATTTATGCTAATGTACGTGTACGTGTATCTTTGGCAAGCAGGTAACGATTTTTACAGCTCACACTATTAACTTGAAGGTACTTGATGCGTTTCGAGGCAAGTTGATTGGAACAAAGGCCAAAAACGGATGCTATAGCGACTCTAGTGAAGCAAGGGGGCTACAACAAAATCGCGGTATAGTATTATTCATAGATAAATTATATATCCTATATGCCTGCCTCAAATATATATGCATGTCCCCATCGATGACGGCAAAAACTCGGGCATTTTGGGGTGGCTGCGGAGTTTTTGACGTGTTCGCAGAGGCTAATCAATAGCTAAAGCCTAAACTTGGAAAAGCGGTTGGCGGTAATTGGAAATCGGGTATTATCGGGTTATCGGTTATCCGGATGTGGCATGTATGTATGTATATGTAACGTGTGAGGACTCTCTATTTACAGTTTAAGTTCAGATTCTGCATTAATAAGTTTAACTTGATCATCACCCCTCCTCCTTGGTAAATAATTTTGTTCTTTTTCGTTCGATTAATACATAACATATCTCATATCTCGCTTTTCAGTTACCTAAACTTAAGCTTTTACTTTAGGTTTCGGTTTCATCGATCGTAAGTTAGGCTTATTTAAGTGTTAGTGGTTCTTTGCTTGCTTAAACATTAAATATATTTATGTATATATCGATTTATATATGTATGTATATATACTTAAATAACCTCCTCTCTGAAAATCTAGAACTTCCCTCGACTGATTTAGATTTAGCTATTTAATCAATAAACAATTTATGTCCTTAAGCGCCTATGCTCGGGCTCAGGCTTAGGCATGACTGACATTAGCACTTGAACTTTCTCCACCTTCTCCATTGTTTCTGTTTTTTTTTTTTGTTTTCTTTTCTTTTTTTTGTATCTTTTTATCAATAATAGTTGTAAGTAATAATAATCGTAGTAATCGTATTACGCAAATAATAGTGATCTTAGGTGTGTAGTAAAAATTATTTGAAATATGCATAATTTACAAGTATTCTTTGTCAAATGTTATCCTTTATATGTGTGTACATGTATATATATAGATCTCCGTTACATCTATCTTGTATCCGCCTTCCGAAGTAATGTTTAATCATCTAACCGCTCGGCTTGTGTTCTCTGTTCTCTGTTCTCATTTAAATGCATTTGTTTTCATGACTTATAAAAATTAGATATCCTTCCATTTCATATTATTTTAAATGTTGTTTTCGTTTTCTTAGGTTTTCCTCCGCCGGCGAATAGAAAAAACAGATGTGGACTTAGCCTAGGCCAGCAACATGCCGAATGGGTATCGGGCGGCATCCTGGGAGCCGCTGCTGCAGGCTGACCTTGGTCCTTTGCTATTTGGCTGCAAGGCTGGCAGCTCCTGCCAAGGGTTACTGCAAGGATACGAAACGATTAGCTGGCGAGCTCGAGGAGGGGCTATCTGGCAGGTGTTGATAACTGTTTTCGAAACGGGCAAAGTGGATTAGTAGCGGCTTTGAGTTTTCATAGTACTATTTACTGGAGAAGTTATTTATCGCTATGTTTTTCTTTTATTTATTTTTTTTTTATTTTTTAAGTGTGTAAAATGGCAAAGTGGCGGAATGTCTTGTGTCTAGAGCGCACTAGAGAGTATGCTGAAGTTTAGAGTTTAAATTGATTAGTTGGTTGGTGCACTTACTGAATTCAGTTCAGTTTCGAGTTCGCTTGAATTGAATTGTGCTTGGGTGCCTAAAGTGTTTTCGTTGTTGTGGTTGTGTTGGTTGGAATAGAAAGCGTTGTGGTGGCTGTTGGTTTTGGTGTTGAGAGTGTTGGAAACTGTTATTCGCCCGGCTCCTCCATAATGACTGACTCGCCGGCCCAAACAATCGGACGACCCTGGTGTGATTTCAGAGGTTTCAAAGTTTGTTGTATTTCTGAACAGCATTGGTCCGCGTTCTTTTCAAAATGTTTAATAAGAGAGCTAGGCCTAAGCATACGTATTTCTTTAACTAGCCAAGATTTGCCATTTTATAATGTACTTAGTATGTCGATAAGAATGCAAATGTTAGTTATAATTTGTATGTTACCAAAGCTAAATCAAACGGTAGTGATTATTAAGCAAAATATGGGGAATCAAACCACGTGATGTCTGACCGGTTCTTAAAAAGGGATTCAAAATAAATACAGGTTAGGGGGATCTACGCATGCACTAGATAAATGCTAAGCAAACCGATTGTGGAGATCGATTCTATTAAATTTAAATTTTGGATTGTAATGGATAGTTGGGGATAGAGAAACATACCTATATGAGTATTATACGGTTCTATGTGAAAACTACGTTGATTCAACGGTAACGGTAACGGTAACGGTGATTTATGGTGACTTGCGACAAGTTATTTGCACTTTAATTTGGTTTGCAATTTCGTTAAGCATCTGATTTGATTTTGATCAACTTTTCTCATTCATCTTTTCAGTGTACAATGCGAATTGTTGTTCTACTTTGCCTTTTGTGGTATTTATTTAGTGTATGTCAAGCTTTTCATTTACAAGGGTGCTTAAGTGTATGTAAATTGTTAACTAAAAATCTAATTTTTCGAAATCGATAGTTATTCTGATTGGTAATTCTGGCTCTTTAAACTGAGATCTTTTGAGTTCAACATTTTTACAAGGGTTTTGCGACAGACTAACATGTTATAAACATAACGTGGAGCTAAATACTACAGAAGTATATGCTTTGTGGGTGTGTTTCTTTTATAAATATAATGCAAGTGTATTTGTTTTATCGATTTATAGCTTCTTTTATAGATTTCTTGTACGAATTGAGTTTGTAAGATTTGTATTTAGTCGATTTTTAGTTCGGTTTAATTCTAGAGTTTGAGTGAGTCGAGTGAGGCTATGGATGAGCGCCTAGAGCCTAAGCCTATATTAGTGGGACAACTGACCAGTGAGGTGGTGCCAAAGAGCTTGTACCAGCCGATCACAATGTTCGACAGATTCAGATCGTCGAGCATAATCTGCGCCACGCCCATAAACACTTTCTTCTCGATGCGTCCGTAGTCGCCCCACACGGTGATCTAAGGGAGAACATAAAAGGTTACATCTGCGAAAGTCTGACGAGCCCTTTTGGACCAACCTGTAGTATGCAACCGGTGTAGGACTGCTTGAAAACCAGCTGCTGCTGGTACAGTGGATCCAGAGTACGTCGTGCTGATGAGGTCTTCATCTTGTCCACACAGCGTTTTCCAGACACCAAGTAGACTTTCACATACGGAGCGGGCAGCATCTTGGACGCGGGTTTTTGCTACGGAAAATAATCGGAAAATTGTTAAAGAGTTTCCTAAAATAAATACAGGGAAGATGGAATAATGGATTCTGTAACAACTTGACGCGGAGGTTCATATTTTATAGTGAAGGAAATCGGTATATCAAACTATCCGTTATTTTCTATATGATCCTAAGCGAGATATTATGTCTACATATCAAATCAGACTTTTAATTACAACATTTTTGGTTTACTTTACCTGCAACCCTCTAGCTCTGATGACCTCCACTTCCAGAAAGCCCTTCTGGTGGCACAGCGATAGCTGGATGTCGCCCAGCGAGGGGGCTCCCAGCACCTGGCGGCCCACGAGTTGACCTGGCCCAAGGCCATCCACGAACTCATTGAGGGCTCCATCATTTCGCAACGAGGGGGAAAACCTACATGTTGGAATGGGGGTTGGGGTTTTGGACGTGTGGTACATAGAGAAAGCACTTTAGTACAGCTTCTTTGGCAGAGTTTTTAGTAGTATCTCTCATCTAAATATTGTTTAAATTAGAAACGTAATTTACACAAAGAAAGGATGTTGTTTTTATATAAAGATAGAACTCTTTATACACAGGGAGTTGTAGAAAGACAGTAAATGTTGTATAGTTTCAGTTGATGGTTGCGACTGCAACAGCTGTGGTCTGAAATGGATCAGTGTGTTTGGGTGAGAGGCGGAGGCTCTGGGGTGATAGTGATACTGATAGTGGTGGTGCGGTGGAGAGAGAGAGACAAGTGGAGTCACAGTTCGATGGTGGCATGCAAGTGTCTTTTCGTTCCAAGGACAAAGGTGCAGAGAAGGTAGCTTTATGATATAGTATACGATCGAGGAGACGCTGGGTTAAACAGCTTCTAGCGCAACCCTAATTCTTGTACAGGTAGACAGAACAGGATCTGACTATTCAGGGTCCTTTTAAAGCTTTACTATATATATTTTTTGCTTTAAACACTAGGCACTGTGTGTGCTCGCTTAGTCTAGTCCCTTTATTTACACACACACATCAAGAGGTGAGGTTATCTTTTTTATATACATATACGTATATATATACTATATATATATATATTGCTGAAATCATAGGTGTAAAATGAGGCTTAAAAAATTACAATTTGTACACATTACATGACACAAAAAAATACACAAACAAGTCGAAGAATCAAACGGAACTCAAGGAAAGGAAGGAAAAGTGGAAAACACTTAGAGAAAAAATGTACGCAAATGCAGGCTCGTTTTCAACGGTGTCAAGGCGCACGCACACAGACAACGAGTAAAGAGAGAAAGAGTTGCAGGGTGAAATGGTCGGAAAGAGTTATAGATGGGATCGCCACACAGATTACCATATACAAAAGCCAAAGGAAGTATAGTTTAGATTGAGTTTAAGGACAGTCGGAGGTGAGAGTAGAGAGAGTCAGATACAGAGACAGAGACAGAGGCAGGCAGAGATTTAGTTATTCAGCCGGAAAGAGGTATATAGTGGCTATGGCCGAGTGCCATGCGGGTGCGATCGGGAGACTTACGATGAGCCCTCGGAGCTAGAGATCGAGTGAATGCTGCCGGCACTGTAACGCGTCACCGGAGGCATCAGCGGCACCTCCACCGACCGCTGGATGCTGCCCGCCGAGCCGCGCGACTGCCGCTGGTGGTATGGATGTGGTGGTGGTAGTGTGATATGGTGGTGACCAGCGGAGCTGGTCGAGCTGCCTGAGAACTGTGCCTGGTATTGCTCTTGTTCTGCCGGAGACAACAATACATATTTATACAGATGTGTGTGGGTGTGTGAACGCGTATATACAGAAGTCGTAGGTTGGTCTGAACATCTGGGCTTTTCCAGAGGTCGCTTAGCCTTAACGCGTAATTGCAAAGATGTCTAAAAGTGAGATCTATACTGTGATGATGGGTTTCTTTTTGTACGCCAAACCAAATTCTGATGTAGCATTCTTTTAGACACCTAAATTATGGCTTAGAAACTTCTGGAGATGCTGGGGGATAGATGTGTCCAAGGCCCAGCTTCCTAACGAAGAATTAACATCTTAGACATTAGAAAGGTGGACCTTAGAGCAAGAGAATTTTGATTGGACTCTTTTTTATGACGAAACTCAGAAGCGATCATGAGTAGTGAGGTGAGATTACAACGCAGGAATCGGGTCTTTGGATATTCGACGCTGGGCTCTTGGAAAATGCAAAACCTTAAAGAGCGAAACCATTTGCTGGGGTTCCCCGAAGGAGCGACAAGATAGTGTAGAGTCGTAAACGGAAATATATCTGAATACAAAACTGAGGGGGAAATCAAACGAGAAAACTATAACTGAATAACCATAAGAGAACATAGATCATAGAGTACACACTATATGTATATATATATATATTTATATATCAGCGAACAAAATCATCAGAACTAGTGGCTTAACTGAAAACAACTATTGCAATATTTGAGAGTATTCACTAGAAACTCAACCCGTTTGGTTGTGTATTAAGGTTCTAGTATTCAAAAGAGTGTGACATCGATGCTTGGCGGTGATATTTACTGCACTCCCTTCCGCTATATCGTGTGCAATGCAAATTTTGTAGCTGCTGCTGTCTTGACTGGCCAATTTTCGGATGAGTCTTTGGTTGGTTGGTTGTTGTTAATGCATCTGTTTTTGGTTACTACTTGTTGTTTGCGGTTGTTGTTGTGATCTATGTGTGCTGATTGTTGTAGTTGGAGTAGTTGTTGTAATTGTTGTTGTTGAATGTCTGCTGACTTTCTGTGACAGAGCTCCCTGTGTATATACTTAGGAATGCGAATCAATTGCGCAAAACATAATCGAACTGAAGTAGAATCTCGCGGAAGGCAGATGATAAACATTAGTTTGTTGACTGGGATCGAAGACCTCAAGGGATGATCTCCCGGATCGTTCGTGGACTACATATATGGAGTCTGTCTTTGATGTATACACATATTGTTTTTTTGGTTTAGGAAACTGCCCGACCGGGTGAGTTGATAGCTCCTTGATTACGCTTAGCTCTTACCGCTTACTGCCACAAAACCATGGCTGAAGCCGAAGCCGAAGCTCAAGCTTAAGCCTCAAGCTCAGGCTCTGGGGCTTTGGCAATAAAAGTATTAACAAGAGGCTGCAATATAGATTGGTAGTTGCTGGTATGTCGAGTACGGGTGGTTACGAGTATATAAAAGTATAGGCTGGCTTAACTCAATGCATGCAAATCGAAATCGAACTGAACAGAACGCTAGGAATAAATGTTGTGTGGGTATTACAAATGGCATTAGCAATCGTACGGGTACGGGTTTGGTTAGTAATAGTAAGTAGTAATGCTGCTACGAAAGTAAAATGCAATTTGATGGGCTGTCGCACAGCCGAAAGCTTTCCCCATTGCCCGGCAATTTACTGAAAAACTGCGGATGAGCAAAGCTTTCGGAGTGCCCCGCTTCGTTTTGGGGAAGCCCCTTCCTGGGGGGCGTTCCCCTAATAAGCCTAAAAATACGTATCGACTTTGGATTGTTTGTTGGTTTGGTTTGGTCTTAAGTTGGGTATTTCTGGATCTGTTTTTTTTTTTTGTTTGCTGCGCCTGCGTTTTCAAGGTGGTCAAAAATAATAATTTAAGTAAACGAGGGAGGCGGGTGGTTAGAATGCGGATACGGATACGGATACGGTTACAGTTACGGTTGCTGTGAGAGATTGTCATGCCTGCGAAGAGAGAGCTTTGGCTGAAGCTTTGGCAAAAAAGCGCGCGCGAAAAGTCAGAGAGAGGATAAGGGTGAGAAGCTCTTACATCTAGGGAAAGTGGTATATAATATCCTGTGTGCTGAGTGGGACTTGTTTTCGGGAGGGGTTCTTCTGTTACCGACACTGTAAGTGCTTGCTGTTACGGTTACGATTCTGGGCCGACTAATGTTTATCATCTCAATCGAGAGCGACAGCCTGGCTGACGCTTTTCTTCAGACTTTATTTAAAATTTTTACTTTTTCGAATTTTACTCCTCCAAAAGGCAACTCAAAACTCAAAAAGAAAGTCATAAAAACGATAATTAACCGAAAATAACTGATAACATAGCATAGAGAGCAGAGTAGAGTAGTAAGTAAAGTACAGTAGAGTAGAGTAGAGAGAGAAGATAGTTTTAGAGTAGAGAAAGTTGGACTTGTGCGCACCTTTCCCCGCCGGCGCCATCGCCGAAAAACTGCTCGATGGCGTCCGCCTCCGAGGACGAGCCGCGGGACAGGCCGCCGCCGCCGCCGGCACCGCTGGAACCACCAGCGGTGGCACTTGCACCACCGGCCCCGCTAAGCCCTCCGCCAACGCCAATACCGCCGCCTCCGGTGCGCAGCTCGCGCGTGATATCGCCGGGCAGCACTTCTTCGCTGCGGTGCACCGTGAACGAGTTCTTACCCTTCTTTCCAAAGCCCATACGTCTTTTACGACCTTCGAGTATGGCATTTTACACAATGTTTTAGTTTTCTTAGTATACTTTATATTGGTTAGTTGGTTAACTTCGCTATGGATATGCTTATGGTTACGGTTATGGATAAAAGTATGCTCATGAGGTTAGTAATTGGTTGGGCAACGCAAAATCAAATGGCAAAGCAATAGATGTGACGAGAAGAACAACAGAAGACGAAATGAACTCGCTCGCCGGCCTCCTCCAATCGGATGAGTCGGGCGAGCCTACGATGCTACGGATATTGGGTGTCTCAGTTGACTGATTGACTGGTTGACGACTGATCAACACAAGGCAACGGAACGAGAACGGTAAACAAGCGCAAACAGAGAACGAAACAAAACGCCTACCTGTGGCCGACAGCTGCGAGGTGGAGTTGGACTTTTTGCCCATGCCGCTGCCGCCCTTGGGCGACCTCTCCTGGTCGACGGCGCCGCCCTTCTTCCGGTCCGTCGCGGTGTCCGAGAGGCTGCCATCTATGCGGGGAGATTTATTAAAAGATTTGATTTATTTTCATTTAATTTTTAACAACCGCGGAATCTAACAAGAAAACACTTTTTTTAGAAGCATAACAAATTATTCTTATTTTTTGACAGTAATGCTTAAAGTTCTGAGTTCTTTTTAAAACCCACAAGAAAATATTTAAAATCAAAACAATATTCCAATAATATTTTTATCAATACAGCCAAAGAGGATGCAGAGATTTAAAGGACCCTTTTGTCCATACTATTCAGTACTCACCGACTTTCTCTTCGCCCTCGGCACCACCTCCATCCGTTGACTTTGGACCGCCCGTCTCATCGGCGCCGTTCTTGTCCTTGTCGTACTCGCTAAAGTCGTCGTCCAGCATGGCATCGATGGCATCCCAGTCGATGACGTCCAGCGGAGCATCCGGGTCCGCATCCGCATCGGCAGTTGCGTTCGTTGTTGTTGTTGTTGTTGTTGCGTTTGGTTCGTTCGTGTTATTTGTTGTTGTTGTTGGATTTGTGGCAGTTTTTGTAGCATTTGTTGTTTCGGTTGTTGCAATTGTCGTTGTCGCCGCATTCGTTGCATTCGACGATGTTGTTGTTGTTGTTAATGTTGTTGTTGTATTTGTGATAAGATTTGTGCATGTATTTTGTGGTGGGGGTTGTTGGTGTGTGGCGTCAAGCGTCAAGTTGTTAACGTCATTGTTGTTGGTGTTTATGTTTTGTTGGTGTGGTGTTGGTGTAGTTGTTGTTGCATTTGTTGATGATGGGACACGTTTGTTATTGTTGTTGATTTGGTTGGGTGATCCATGATGTTGTTGTTGTTGTTGTAGTTGTTGTTGTGGAGGTGGTTGTTGTTGGGGATTTGCAAAAGAGGAAGAAGAAGCATTATTAGCATTAGTACCACCGACGACAAGATGCCCAGCAGCGGCAGCAGATGTGGCACCACCGCTCCCACTACTAGATTTCGTCAGCTGCTCCGATGCCATCATCGATCCGCTGTTGGCGGCGGTGCCTTCTTTCCCTTTTTGCCTAGCTGATTGTTGTAGTTGTTGGTTGTGACTTTGGCTAACACTAACACTACTCGCTTGGCTATTGTTTTGGTTGGTGTAGTGGTTGCTATTGTGTGTACTGCTCGTGTTGTGTGCACCACCGCTACCCATTCCGTTGCCGTGCTCCATTCCCACCGCTCCCGCTTCCAATCCTGATCCGCCCTCCATGGGCGAGAAGTTGTGCGCATTCTGGGCACTGGGCGGATGTGGCAGGTTCCGGCGGCGCTTCAAGTACGGCGCCGCCGGTCCGTACAGTTTTTGCTGACTGGTGCGCTGCAAGTCCAGCGACATGTGGTGTCTGGAATCCGCCAACCCTCGCTGACGGTGAGCCCCACGGAAGAGGGAAGGGGCCACTCCTCTTCTTGTCCAGCCCACATCTGAGTCATACATGATGGTCACGATCTTATCGTCCGTTACCAGGAAGTGCGAGTGGCTCAAGGGATGGTTGGCATCTACATTGGCGCCCATGTACGACTGACGAATATTCGTCTCCGATCCGTAGCGACGCGACATCGCCGAAGTAGGCGAGTGAGCGTAGGAGCTTGGATGCGGATAGGGGTAGTCGCCGGACGAAGGCACCACCTCGTCCTCGTATCGGATGCGTCGGCGACCCCAGCTCTTCGCGTGCAGATCGTCGTAGTCCAGGGATCGTGACTGACCCTCGTGGAAGAGCCGCCGTCGCTCTAGTTTCGGCTTCTTCAGTATTGAAGTGGGTTGCGCCTTGGCCTCTGAGATAGGAACGGCGGCCACCAAGGCATCTTCGCTCAGCTGTCGGGACAGGCGCAGCACCGACTGTGTGGGCGGCGGTGGCGGCGTTGCCATCTGTCCCCTGGCCCTCCGATGGGCATTCGGCGTGGGCGTGTGAACATGATAGGTGGGCACTACGCCCAGATTCATCTGCGGTCCCGTCAGCCCGCCCAGAAAGTGTTGGTCCACGCACTCACCGCACATTGCGGGATCCGAGGAGGGCGGCTCACCGCTGGCACCGACGTAGGGATAGCCCATGAGCTGATGCTGGGGGTGCGGATGCGCGTCCGCCAAACAGCAGGGATCGGGACAGGCGCCAATCGCCAGGCCCGCGGTGGCCAGGTGCAGGGTATGATGCGTGGATAGCACCACCGGCTGACTCCCGTTCTGGCAGTGGCTGCAGCTCTTGTCCAGGTGGTCGCGTACATAACCCACCAGCGAGCTGGGCGAGGCTGTCACCCCGGAGGCGACGTGGTCGTGGGCGTGGACGCCCGAGGGCGAGGAGCTGCGGAAGAGATTCGTGATGGGCGTGGTAATGCGCTTGAATTGCTTAAAGCTCGGCAGCAGCGGCAGCGGATAGGCGGCGGTGGCTTGTACGTTCGGTTTCTGTCCGTTGGGCCGTCGTGGTGGAAACATGTCGATGTCGATGGCGAATGGCGGTGGTGGCAAATGGGGCGAGTAGTAGGCGGAGTGAGGATGCAGATGCGCATGGGGATCGAGTGGATCGAGTGGTGCCAGCGTCTCCTCGGCCACAGTGCCGGGTTCCACGAAGAACTGCTCCACCAGCTGGCCGCTGTTGGCATCGGTCACCAGCACCTGATGCGGAGTCATGCCCATTCCGATGCCGCCGGCGGAGATGGGCGGCGAGTCGGCAGCCGCTAGGGCGGCCAATTGCTGCAGTTGCTCCAGCTGTTCCAGCAGTACCATTTGCTGGGTTCCGCCGGACGGCAGATAGTCGCAGTCGTCCACCTCGATGGTGTTGGCCCTACCGGGCTCTGAATGATGCAGTCGCAGTCCGGTGATCGGTTCACCTGCGGCGCCGCTGAGGAAGCTGTTGCGAACGCCAAAGAGATTGCGCCAGTTGCGGGGGAAGCTAACGGTTATTGCGGCACGGTAACGGGTGGTAACGAGTGGTAACGGGTGGTAACGGTGGTGTGACAGCAGTGGTGGGTGGTTCGAGGTTTGGTTTCGATGCATGCAGTGTTGGGAAATGGTTTTAAACGCAACGCCATTCCCAGTGAGACAGCGCTCGGCGTGTGGTGGTGAGTTTGTGTGTGTGGCAAAAAGTGGGGTTCAGTGGCAGGATTATGGGTTGTTATTGAACAATTGACGGGGAGAACGAACAGCGTCCGAGGTCAAACGTTCGGTTCGAGGTGAGTAGTGGTCACCAATGCGAGTCGAGTGTTTGTTTGTGTGTAAAGTGTTTATTGGAGTGTTTTATGGTGTTTTGCGACATGTTGTTGAGTTTTGTGGTGAAGCGTGTGGTGAGCACAGCACGCGAGAGAAGCATTCAAACACAAACACAAAGAGAGTTCACGCGGCGAGTTTTTCGAGTTGTTGATTGTTGTTGAGGATTTCATAGATATTTTAGTTTGTCGGTGGTTGGTTTGGCAAACGCAAAAAGTAAATGCAGAAAAGAAACTTTATGTTTTCGCTGTAGTTTTTCGCTGGTTTCAGTGTGCGAGTCTACGGTTTGATGTGTCTGGCGTGTGTATGTGTGAGTCACAGAGAGAGTGGGGCGGTAAGCGCGCCGATACTGATTCAGATCACTTTCAGATTCTTATCAAATTGCAATACCGAGACATGGGGACTTAGAGAGATTTGGGAGCCTAATTCAGGGGAATTTTGGATTTTGTTCGTTGCTACTATTCGTAAAGTAAGTGTGGCGAGAGCGAAATTTCAGCGTAATTTTGGCAGCGTAGCTTGGCTTGTTTAGCTTGGCTTGATGGGCCCTTCCTCATCCCTCCTGGCTGCTCCGGAGGGCTCTCCTCGACGCGTCAGCCACTTACCTGAGTCCGCGCGAGGTGCGCGGCCGCTCCGACTGCGTGGAGAAGGCGCTGGAAGTCACGCTGACCACCGACTCCATATCCGAATCGCCGAACTCGCCCATGAAGTCCTTGTCTGGCGACAGCGAGTGTCGTGGCCGCATGCGCGCATCCATCGAGTGCAAGTCGCTGTCGGAGAGTCCGGTGTAGTGTCGCTCCCAGCCGCCCATCCCGGTGCTGCGGTATGTGGCCTGGTGGTGTGGCTGCCGTGTGCGATGCCGCCCGAAGCGACCGCCTGAGGCCAGTCGCTCGTCGAAGTCCTGTCCGAGGCGGTCCCGCAGCATGGCGCTCCGCGAGGTTTGCGGCACCTGTTGGTTGATTGTAAGAAGCGAATTAGGTAACTTTTAAGATGCCTTTTGTGGAAATCTCTACGGATATTTCGCGTGTGAATGATTCTGGCTGATAATGTACATATTTTTCGTAGCAAGCCTTGCCGTTCTATTGGTCGCTCTTACTTTTTCTATTCTGTTCCTAAAGAGCTTAACTATTAAAATGATATGACCTTAGGTGAGGTGCTACGGGATTACAGTTTTATTTGTAATTAGGCTTATCTGTCGCACTTTAATTATTATTCTTTAAATGGAATTAGAAATTATACGGGATTGCTTGATCAGTTTGTAGCAGCAACTAAAATTTAACCCTATTACAATGGTTTGAATACCGAAAACCCTGTTGGAAATTGTATGGCGCTTTCAGAATCTCCTTCCCAGTTCACTCTCATGCTCTGTTCTACGCTGTCATCCACTTGGGTTACCTGTGGCAGTTGCCTCTTCTTGGGCGAGCCTGTGGGCGTTGCTGTGGCCGAACGCGACTGGAATCTCTGCTGTTGCGAGGCTGCCGATGCCGCTGAGGTGGCACCACCCGGACCCTGGTAGGCCGATGGAACTGGAAGCACTGGATAGTCTATGTAGCGGTCGTCTGGCGGTGAGAGGGAACCCCGTCTGGGACTGGTGCTCCTGTAACCGTAGCCCGATCCACCGGAGGGCACTCCGCCTGCTACTCCTCCTCCGCCGCTGCTGCTGGTGTGATAACCGTCGCTGGGTGCCGCCGAGTGGCTTCGCTGGCTAAGGCTCATGCCACCGGGGCCGATGGCGGAGCCGACACCATTACCGCCTCCGCGACGATAGTAGCCGGTGGCAGAGGCCTGTGTGGATGCAGAGTTTGGTGGCATGGAAAGTAGAGTGTGGTTTAGTGGTGCGCCCTTTACGACCAGGACCAGGGGTTCCGACGATCACTCGGATCGGAGCTTATAGACTAGGCTTGTGAGTGGCAGTGGTTCTGGGTCAAGCGTAACGGTGTGCTGGGTCATGTGTGTGTGTCATGGAGTGTCTTGAGTATTTCGGTTAACTGTACTGCAACTTCTACTGGAACATTGATACGAGTAAGTTCATATATATGGTAATACGTAGGTAGAGAGCAAGAGATAGAGCCAAAAAAATTGGATACGAGTACATTTTCGAAACGAAATCAATCAAAATACATTGGCAGCCACAGGCGACCCTTACGATTATTAGTGGGTTAATCGGTTAGTTAGGTTAAGTAAAAAAGATTAGCATAAAACTCGGAATTTAAAGTGCAGTAAGTTGGCAGTGAGTTTGGTCTAACTAGGCTGGGCTATAACTGTGGGGCTAAGAAAGGTCAAGAGATGTTTGGACTGAGACAGAGGATGTAGCCTCTGCACTGGATCTACTGAATGGTGGAGAAAGGGCCTTTTTAGGCTTCCTGAAATGTGACAAAACGTATGCACGATATAGAAGGGTGATCCAAGGATATTTTTCGATATGTTTCATAACATATTACAATGTTCCTAACGATTGGTATTGATATTTAGAAGATTATCTACTCAATGAGGCATTGTTATGGAATGAACCCAGCTCCGAAGGAGTTCCCTCAGCTAATCCCGCAATCTTTTGTGTTTCCGGTGTCTGTACTGTACTGTTCTGTTTTGTTTCGCATTCTTTTTTTTGGCCTTGTATGGGGTGGTTCGTTAATTTAGCTTGGGTGCAAACCTGATTGTGGTAACTTTGTCCAATGCCAGATACAGTGCGGTAGTCACGGGCCACCATCCCGGCCACTCGCTTGCGGCCCTGGGGCGACATGTCACGTCGGGACCGACGCTCGTTTAGATCGAGCTGGATCGTCGTGTTCGGGTGGGGATTTGGAGCGGGGGACATACATGGGGTGGGTGGAGAATGTTTCGGTGAGAGGCAAAGATCGAGAGAAAAGAAGGAGTAGATAATAGAGAAATTTACATCATGATCAATATGAATGGAGAGAGAGTCTGGAGCACAGTGTGATCGGGGTGTGGCAATGTGCGGGCTATCGGATATTGCGCTACGTTACCGGCCCCTACATTGCGTTTGTATGGGATCTGTATCTTGGGTTCTCTGCTAGTGTTCGTATCTCAGGGATTGTGTTCGGGTAACTCAACGCACATCAAGTATACGCAACGCTATACATTTAAAGATACGAGGTGAAGCAGCGAAAGCAGCGGGATGGGCAATGCAATGTGATAGGTGGTTTAGTGGATAGCTGGATGGATCGGTTAAAGCGGTTATCTACAAGGACATGCAAAGCGGCTTAAAGGTGCTCTTTAATGGCAGGTGGATCGTGAGAGATATAGATAGTTTGTTTGTAGAGAGAGATAGAGAGATTTCCTTGGACAGTATGTGTTCTCTTGTCATAGTTTACACGGATTCTTAGCTTAAAACATTCGGCTTATTCGACTTAGACTAGAGTAACTTCCATCTTAAATGCAATAGTATTTAGTATAGTTAGCTGAAAAGACGCGGCCAAGTCTCGCTTGGATTTGCTCGGGGCTTGAGTACAGTTTTAGATAGTTAGTAGAGCAACAGTTTAGACTTCGAAGAGAAAGTATAGTATATTGAGGAAGAGAGAGAAAAATTTAACACACGCACAACCAAACAACGACACCAATTAGTTGAATAAAAGTTTCAAACGAACTAAAAAAGACATCATGAAAACAAAATACTTTGTACAATTGCTGCTGGGAGGTGTCATGTCATGTTTTGGCCCTCTGATTCCGTCCCTGACCGTGAACCAGTTGGTGTTAACAGTGTCGACGTACATCTGTATTTGTGTCTGTGCCTCTGTGTCTGTGGCATGCAAAAGGAGAACTATGAACTGTTAACTGACATGAACAGGAACTGGAACCGCAATGGAGTCCGAGTCCCTTGACGGAGCATGTGGCAGGGCTTTGTGTGGGCTCTATTCTTTTTGTTCGCATTAGCAGTGCTAATGATGGCCTGGCTGATGCTTATGCTGATGTTGATGCTGTGCCTGATGCTGCACTTGGCATGTGATATGTGAGCTACAGTTTGAAATAAGCACGCACACACATAGAGAGAGAGAGATAACAAACTAAAAAAAAGTCCAAGCTATCACACAACTCAAGCCCCCTTCGACAGCATGACATCTATGTATATACACTTGCTGTAGTCTGTCTAGATCTCTTTTGAATTTCCTTTGGCCATCGAAGGATGTTAGGTAATATATAAAGATGAAAAAATAGCATTTGCGGACCAGGTAATAACGTTACCATCTTAATTCTTCCTCTTTAAGTGCAAATAAAAATTAACAACAGTTATTTATATGACTTTCTTCCATACTAAGAAAAATAAAATGATCTTTGCCTTATAGGCAGATAGATATAGGATATAGGAGACCAGGCTGAGAAATTTGCTGACCCACAAGTTAGGGCTTTGAGCACCACTGATCTATTTTTCTATATATATATCTATATTTCTATTCTGCATGGAAGGACTTTGGGAAGAGATTCTAGATGTTGACCCCGAGCAAGAGTATATAGAAACGTTAGTTTTTTTTTGCTTTATCATATAAAAGCAGTATCGAATGCCTTCTGGCCTTTGTGTGTGTGTGAGCTTTTTTTCAACGACGGCGGAAATGTTCTCCCATGAATCTGTGTGAGAAGGGCTGAGAGCCACTGGAAGTGGCAAGCTGCGATTGAGGACTTATGCATGTGGGCATGGCTGTGAGTGTGTGAGTGTCTGGTGTCCTCACTCTTGATGCTGTCAGTTATTCTTGCTGTTGTTGTTGTTTTGGTTCTTCCTCCTTTTTTCTTTGTGTGTATTACATATATATACATATGAAATAATAAATTTAATTCAATTCTTTTTCTCGTTTTTTTTTTTTGCTGCTCCCTTTGTGTGTCTCTCAGTGTAATGTTGTTTTACTGCTTGTTGTTGCTGTAATAGCTGTTGTTCTTGTGGTTGTTGTTGTTGTTGCTGTTACCTCTAGCAGGGGCGGCGGGCTGGCCGAGCTGCCCATCGAAGAGATGCTGGCCCCGGGCGTCATTCCATCGATGTCGCAGTCGGACGTTGTGTCCGAGTCGCTCAGACGCGACATGGTGCTCGGCGGTGATAAATGATCTGTCGGTGTCAGTATCAGGCCGTCCACATCGCTGCCCTCGTCACGTAACTGTTTTCGTTGTTGTCATAAATTTTTGGCGTCGCAATGTGGTTGTTGGTTGTTGATTTGGTTGTATGGATAACGAACGCACGTGTTTTTGTTGTTGGTAATGGTGGGTGGGGGTTGTTGATGGTGATGTGTTATTGTTGTTGGCGGGTGCACGACAAAAACCAACGGAAAAAAGGAAACAGATAATGACAATGCCGGGTTAATAATTTTGTTCAAATCGGGCAGCGGCTGTGGAGGGTTTGGTTAGAGGACATTACCAGGTTAGTTCTGGCCTTCACTTTCACACACTTTAGTTCGCATATCACAGAAATTTACGACTAGATTTTAAGCTCTTTCGAAAAAGTGGTAAAAGTGAAGCCCGAACAACCTTCACATCGAGCTTAACATGGGACTAAAAACGAAAAACTATACAGAATTAAATCATAACATTTTCCATTTGTCTTTAGCCAGTTTTGTGTTAAGTTTTTCGCTCGCCAAAACATCATTCGTGGAACCGTGAACCGAAACTCTTGGGGTTTCCCTTTGGGGTTTTTTTTTAAAGCGTTTACCAACACCTATTTTTGACAGCCAGGAAACGGAAACGAACGAACGCAAAATGGAAACCAAAGGAACGAACTGAAAGAGCCCGGCCCACACATACGAGATAGGAGGTGTCCTGGTGGGGCTGCAGCTGATACCACTCGGCCTCGTCGTCCAGGATGTGGTGTGCCAGATCGATGACCACCTCGCCGATGAAGTCGTTGGCCCCATAGCGCACATAATCCCACAGCGTTACCTGAAAAATGTGGTTGTGATTACTAGATTGATCTGATGGCGAGTGGTTGCGGTAATAACGCCTCACCTCGAGCAGACGACCATTGAGATCACAGCGCCTCAGACCGGAGTAGAGAAAGGTCTGACCCCATCGGGGTTCACAGGTGGTGCCCACCGTCTTCGTTCGCCGCTTTGATTTGTGGCTTCGGTCGGGCAGAAGGAACACCTGGAAAGTCATCACAAGTTGGTTAGTACCAGTTAGGAATACAATATATTATGGAGTTGCTTCGAAAATGTATTATTTCAAGATTGTATCTGGCGTTGCGCATCTTATTCATTATATAGTCCATAATTGGTCGGTTTTTTGTACATATAACAATATTGATTCAATTGCTATATGATCATTGAACAAATATTGAATATTGGTATTATTTTAGACATTTCTCAAACAGATTCCCAACATGACCCCCGGCATTAGCTTTATATTTCCATTTAACTCACTTTTGCGTAGGGATTACGGCCAGCTCCGCTCTGGCGCAGGGAGAGGCCGGTGGCACAGACCAGGGTCACGATCAGCTGCAGCGTGTTCTGGTCATAGCCAAGCTTCAGCTGCAGCCGCCCTTCGATTGGTATCGGCTGCGTGGTGGTGCCGGAGCCACTGCCCATGCCGACGCCCACCCCGTGGCCATGGAGGTGAGCGGCTGGGGATCCCTGGTGCTGTTGCGGATGCTGGTGCGGATGGAAATGATGGTGATGGTGGCCCGCCGTCGTGGCGCCGTGCAGACCGCCCGAGGCGGAGCCGGAAGCGTGGACGGATCCGTGGGCGGAGTTGGAGGCGTGGGCGCTGCTGGTGCTGCTGCCGCTGCCACTACCGCTGCTGCTGTGGCTGTGGCTGCTGTGACTTGGTCCCAGGCGCTGCGTCGGCCCGACGCCGCCACGTTGCCGAAGGCCGCCGCCCGCTCCCGAAGCCGATCCGGTGTGGATGTCCGGTGAGCCGGGCGAGGTGATCAGCACGCTTGGCTTGTCGCGATGGATTTCTATGGCCTCGACCGCAGGTGCTGTTTGGGGGAAAGGCGGGAAGATTTGGTTAAGATAACGAGACTGTGCTGGTGAACATGGTGAGTTCGAGTAGCAGTTGGCTTGGGTAAGTGTTGTTGGTAGTGTAATCGTTGATGAAACTAAAAACACAGTTCATACTTGGTCATCAGTATATCATGCCAATAAGAGAAGTCTTTCTCCAACAAAAGTTGTTAAAAATTTAATTTATTTACGACAAGACTACTCCTTTTTACTATTAATGCAACTAAGTTAAGGCTAACTCTTCTGAATGGAGTCAGTGATATGACTTATCCTTTTCATTTGTCGTGATAGCTTCTTCAAATTTCGGAGATTTAGCTACCATTTGAGTTAAAAGTTAACAAAAACTAGTTAACAATTTAATGAGATTTAATGGAACCAGTAGTAATGACTTAGGCTTGATATACGCAACTGATTTAAAGCGATTCATATTATCTTTATCTAGGGCCCCAATAAAGATTCCCTATCTGTGCTTTTGCAAGGTGTAACCTTTGGCAACCCGACTTAATCCCTCTTATAAGACATTCAGTTAGACACACTCACACACACAACCAGACACCGCTCTCCAAGGACCCATATTCGAGTATATTTGCTTTTAGGTACCTTTGCGCTGAAGATATCGTCCGCCACTGCTGACCACCGCACTTCCGGCCATGCTGCTGGCCAGCCCGCTGTGCGGGAAGTTGGCCGAGGAGCGGCGCGGAGGAGCACTGCTGGCGGATCCGCCGGAAGCGGAACAGGCGCTGCTCGGACTGACGTTGCTGCTGCTGCCGCCACTACCGCCACCGCTGCCGATCGCCCGGCTTACGATCAGTTCCACCTGGGCGTCCAGGCGACTCTCGTCGATGATATCGTACACCTCGTCGGCACTCTTGTTGTGCAGCCCGCGGCCATTCCACTCGATGATCTCGTCGCCTGATGGATGTTGGTTTGATGAGTGGGTGAGCGGCATGATCGTGAGCAGAGATCGGAGATAGAGGGAAGAGATAGAGAGAAAAGTCAGAGTGAGATGCGATGGAGAATGTGGATGCTGGATGGACGTTACCTGGTCGAATACGGCCCTCGAGATCGGCCACCGATCCGCGCTTCACCTTCTCCACGACGGCCCCGCATGGACCTCCGCCCGTTCCAAGGAGGGGCTGACCGCCGTTGACCTTTAAGCCTAATATATCCTCCCCATCATAGTATTTACGCAATATCATGTGCCCGATCAGGCGAGTATTGTCCGCGGATGTTTGCCAATTCACCGGGTTCTATATGCATCGATCGGTTTTCGATTGTTGTGGGTGTGGGATGGTGGTTTATTGGTTGTGATTTTCGGTTATTTTTTTAGGTGGGATTGGTGGTTACAGTTTACGGTTCGGATTGCGGATGATCGTGCATAGATTTTGGTTGTTGGATGTGGTGTCGGCGGGGAGCCATCGTATGCGGGAAGTAGAATTGTTTTTAGTTAGCAATTTGCACCGCTCACAGGTCTTAGACATAGAGAACTTACTTCCTAGGTTAAACTTACAATTAGAGTTGGCAAACGGAAATAGATATATGTATGTATGTATAACAGCAGAAAGTAACGGTTTGTACAGTTGTTCACATTCAGTTTTAGTTTTGTTTGTTTGTTTTCTTAAGAGCTAGAGAAACATGTTCTACTTAATTACGGATAGTTGGCATAACGCATAGGTATAGATACACAGTTGCTGTTTCGTTTCGGGGTTTCCTACGTTTTTGAGAACACACACGTTTCAAAAGAGATCCCTCGGGTCGAGGGGTATGGAAAAGTCAAGTATTGAATGCTGAAAACAGTGTTGGTAAACGACATGTAGAAGTAGAAAGCATGCAAGGACGTGCTTAAACGGGGTTTTTGCTTGTGGTAGGGACTGGGGCTTCATGCAAGCACAACACTGAGAAGGTTGCCAAAAGATCTGATTACTGGGGCATGCAAAATTTGTTCATTGTGGGTTTCGATTTTACTTTGGGTTTCAGTGGGTTCGTATGCTGAAATTGTCAAGATGTTGTCATAATAGCTGGAGTCGGTTGCGAGCTGGGAGTGATAACCAAAAACGATATTGTTGCTTGATCATGGTCTGGGTTATGGGCTTGGACATGACAAGAACAACAAACACAGAGGAGGTTGGGGTATCTCCCTTGGGATTCTTGATTTCTTTTTTTTTCGGGGAATTCTTCACACAGACAAACGGAAAGTGGGGTCCAGAGGGGGAGAAACAGAGACACAGAGAGAGAAAGAGAGAGAGAGAGACTCTACACAGACACAATGCATTTTTGCCCATCTGTAGCCCTGTGTACCTTGGGCCCATCTCCTCGGTTCGAGTCCTCGCTGCTGGTAAACGTGCTGCTGGTATCGATGCCAGAGTCCTTGGTGGCCGAGTCCTGGCTGCCTTGCCGCTCGGCCTCCCAGCGCGTCCAGTCAGCTCCGCCGGCCTCGAGGCCACTGCTGCTCTTGCCACTGCTCAGTATGGTGGCCGCTCCCACATCGACCGCCGTCGAGGGCAGGATCCCGGTCACAGGGGGCAACGAGCTGGCTGCCAGCAAGGAGGCCTCCTCATCATGGGCATCGAATCGCACCGTTTTCTTTATTCTGCGCTCGGTGAAGCGGCGCGAGTCCTGGGCCGCCGACGAGGAGGAGCTGGTGGCTGGCTCATCCCAATAGGCAGCTTCAGTGGAACTGACGGAGCTACTTCCGCCGCCGCCGCCACTGCCAGCACGCGTGGCGCCTAGCAGGCCGCGATGGCCGCCCCGTGCCGCCTGACCTTGGGCCTCCATTTGAGCTGCCGTTGCCATGGATCCGCGATCGTAGCCTGTTCCCGGCCCAATCACGATCTGCGGCTTCGACTGGGGGTAGTAACTGCTGCTAGTGGTGCTGCTGCTGCTGCTGCCGCCGCCGCCGGCGGCTGCCAAGGGCGGGGCACGTCGGTAGGCGCCAGCAGCACCACCCGCCGCACCTGCTCCCGGTCCGGGTCCCGGTCCCAGTCCCAGTCCTGGGCCGCCGCCACCTCCTCCCCCAGAAAACTGCCGGTCGTGGTTGCTGCGATTCAGCGAGTTGCGCTGCTGGACGTCCAGGCGAGCGGTTCGCGTCAGAGGATACTGTTCCAGGCGCTCGCGGTGCTGCAGCTGCAGCTCGTAGCGATCCCTCTGATCCGCCGAGGAGTACAGTCGCTGGGTGGTGTGCGACAAGTGGCGGAAGTCAGTGGACCCACCTCCTCCGCCGCTGACACTGAGCAGGTCCCGCTCGTTGAGGCTCCGCTGCTGGCGCCACGGATCCAGAGATGTGCGCACCTGGAGGCGCCCGCCTGTAGGGGTGGTAGATGGTGATTGGGTGTGGCTATAAACACTACTACGGGTTTGAATGCTCTGCGGGATTTAGGGTCGGGTTTCAGGGGCTTCTAGGGTTTTCTTTGGGGGAACTTCGAGAGACTGCGCCGCTTGCCTGCCATAGTTTGTTGTCCTTTTCAGATGTTTCAACAAATGCTCACAAACATAATGGTAATCGATGGTAATCGGTTGAGAAAGCAAAAGTTCAAAGAAAATAAATACGTATGATAGAAGACTTATTGGTGGGGATCCGGGTCTGATCCAGCCCGGCGAGTTTTGATCTTGTTGTGGCAGATGGATTAGTGGTGCCGACAGGGTTTTTCGAAAATTTTAAAAGTTTTAATTTAAGCAACTAAATGTATCTATCTTCTACAGTTTCAAGATGCAAGTGCGTTACTTTCAGAGCATAGATTCATGTGATTCGGGCACACTGCTTAACTGTATTTATCTAGCTATACTTGTACTTAAATAAATGAAGCTAATGATTATTTCTAAAGGGTATACTGTATATATATTGTTTTCAAATTTGGTTTGTATTATTTTTTGAACAATTAAAATGGCGGGGCTAACTAAATTTTAGTTCATTTCTTTGCGAATTTTAAATGATTTAATATTACAATTATTTCGTTACATTTACAAGAAAAATTGTTTTTTTTGCTACTCTTGAAACATTTTTCCTCGAAAGCTCGGAAAGAATTATTAAAATAGAATGTAAGTCAAAAAGATTTCTTTTATAATTAAGGTATACTTCTTGTAATAACAATCTCAAAGAATTTATAACAAATTTTCGAAAAAGCTGCGACTTTTCCGCACTGTTCTCACAACTGCATGAGTAAGCTAAGTATGGTTAATAAGAGTATAAGTAAGTAGACCTACGACTAGAACTACGAGTGCCCACCATTGCTGGGACTAAGAGTGCCAGGGCCGCAAAGATGCGTATCAAGGGTTAAGGATTATCGGTTTCGGTTATCGGTTATCAGGAGTTACAAGATCGAGAGATACGAGGCGTGGCAATACTTATCTGTTGTGGCTAAAAGTTGCAAGAGCATTAAGTTACAGGCTAAGACTTTCGGGGGCAATCCCGGGGCTATGGCCCCTGGGGACAGTGTACACCGTTGAATGTTCTGAATATGCTAGGGTGTGTGTGTGTTTGTGAATTCTGGTTGAAGTAAGGAGGAAACGGGAAACAGCGTTACGATATCCATGCAAATTATTCACCAAGTTTTCCTGTTTTTCAAAATTTCTTTTTGTTTTCGTTCACATTTACAGATAGGAAGGTAGGTAGGGTAGATAAAAACGTAGAAGATACATAAAAAAGTAACGAATACATAAGACAAAGTGTTCGAAAATCCGTCAAGTGACGACAACGTGTGTTCACAGCCAGAAAAGAGATGTGTGTTTTTTAGTGGTTTGGAAAAATCAAGTAATGATCCAAGAAGTAGCAGTATCTGAAGCAAACAAAGACGGACTGACCAGCTTAATGGCTATTATTCAGAAAAAAGAAAACCTCTAGGGGGAAGAAAAGGGGCGTGTCTGTGTTTGTGTGTGTGGAGGAGAAAGGGTGAGTGGGAGGACAGTGCTCGAACAAAGAAAACAAAGTCAACAACTAAGGATATCGCACATTCCTTGCTTGCGCTTGTGACGTGGAAACTCATAAGGAAACAATAACATCGACGAGACACACACATTCAAATTAATTCGCATTAAATGCCTTTGGGGCCTGGATTGAATCTTTTCGCTTACATTTGCATGAATCTGTAGATCGCCGGGCGAGAGAACGGATTGGACACCTTGAACGCCGCCAAAATTACCTGCTACTCGATGTTTATATATATTTTTAAATCGTTTAAGTTGTACATTAGATATTTGTCAGGTAGTTTTTGGTTTTTGGTTGTGGCATAATGGTTTTTGTGGCGGGCAAGTTGGTTGGAGTTTCATTATTTTTTTTTTGGGCAGACCAGAGAGAGAAAAAAAGTGGAGAAAAATATATGAAAATAACATTTCAAAAGGTGAGTTGGAGTGGTTAAAGTGAATACGAAAGACATAACTAGCTTAACAGTTAACTTACAAATACATAATACAATCTATCCGAAATATTTAAGGATATTATTGTGTTAAGTGATTTAGGCAAGCATATATTTGATATAAGGCAGGGGACTCCCCCAGTAATTACTTATTTACCCCGATGTATTACCATGTGCTGGGACTTAATGCTCCGGTTTTCGGGGGATCTAAGTGCTTATAAGCGGCTAAAAGCTTTCAAACTTACAATAGTGATACATTTGTACTCGATAAATTTTGAAGCTTACTTTTGCCCTTGAAAGTAGGCAATGAAAATGGTTGTAAACGCATTTAAAACAAAAGCACACCCGCACGCACACACACTCACTCACAGCAGCACTCACTCAGACAATCGCCTTGGGTGCGAGGCAGAACTAGTTTACACACACACACATAGACCCTCTCTCACACACACACCCTTGCCTTGCCTGTGTGTTTGTGGGCCATACCCCTGGCATACTTTCATTTGACTTTGGTCACGATACAAAACGTTTATTGTGCGCATAATGGCCGACAGCAAACAAAACAAAAACAAGTGAAATAAAAATAAAAATAAAAATGGGAAAAAGAATGAAAAAATTACATAAAGACAGAAACAACAACAACAACAAAAGCCAGACCTAAGCGATAACAATGTAAACAAAGGAAGGCACGAAAGTAAAACAAAGCAAAAGTAAAGTAAATTATTTGAGAAAACCACACGCACAATCTGCAAACGGGGTTGGGCTTTAGGTTTTATGGGATATGTGTGGATGGGCCGAGGAGGGGGTGGGCGCAAAAGACCAAGAAAAGAAAGCAAAAATCAATAATGTACACAAAAACACGGTCATTTCTGTCCCTTGGCGACCTTTCTTATAGTTGTTATTGTTGCTGCCGCTCATGTTGCCCTTGTTGTTCTTGGTGTTGTTGTTTTTGTTGCTTCTTGTGGAAAGGCTGCGCACAATCATCCCATTGTGCAACACACAAAGAAATCGAAAAATCAAATAAAGTTTACATCCATGCACAGGGAAAATCAATTTTTAAGATTGTCAAAATAAAATAAATAGTGAGGGAAACAAATGGAATCTTTGACTTTAATTTTGCTTTGATTCGTAAAGATATCTAATCATAATATTATTATTTTCCTATATAGTTTTAATCGCAAATACTTAAATTACATTTACTCAAAGGCTCGAATTGTTTAGAGAATAATTAAGAATCCAATGAACTTATTTTTATTACATATTAGCGCAAAAGAAGATATATTACTTAACTTTCTTGGACAATGTTGTTTGGTCTAAAAACTTGGGATATTTCTTTTTATCTCACATCTTAAATCAAAAACGGTTGTTTAAAGTGTATAGATTGTCCTGAAACTCTGAATCCGTAGATCAAACTAATTTATACATCCACCGTTTTTGTTTTCACATCTGATAAATTTATTTATTTATGCATATACGTATAAATCAGGAAGAAAACAACAGTTCTATTCAAAAGTTTTTAAACTACAAAAGCATGTGATCAGAATGCAACTGGGAACAGCAAGCAGCCAAAGGCAATATGCCGATTTTGTCTGCTCCTGTTCTTGTCCCAGTGTGAGTGTGAGCCGCTGCTTCCTGTTTTTATATTTTTGGCCATAAATTGAAGCCAGTTCGGTTGACAGGCATCGGGAGGGAGGATTTGGAATGGGCAGGAGTCGGTGTAATGGGCGTTGGGCTGGCAAAAGGACACTAAAATCATCATCATCACAGAGAGAGTGGGAGACAGAGAGTGAGAGAAAGAGAAAGTGATAGAGAGAACGAATAGAAAGGGAGAGGGATATGGGAGAAACGGGAGAGGCTGTCGTAGCTTGTTCTATTTTTAAACCAACGCTCACACACACACCGACAGACGCAGGCGCATAAATAGCACACAAATGGCCGCAAACAGGCACACAAAACAGGCACAGTCATAGGCACCCGCACGCACACTCACACACTCAAGAGAGCGTAAGCGGCCCACACACCACACACACACTCACGGACTTTCTGCGTGGGCCAGCCGCAATGTTCGCATTAATGTCACTCATACGCACAGTTGCACATGCAAACAAACAAGGAGCCACGCCACGCACAACAACAACAACAACAGAGCAGGCAACATCAACGTCAACTGGTGTTGGTCAACGATTTAATTAAATTCAACCCATTCTCCAAAAGATCCTCCAGCTGGTGGTCGCATTTTAAAATAGCCAAACACCCGTATGGCGTATATCCTGTGGCATGCACACGCACTCGCACTCGCACAGCCAGACTCACGCACTCACACACCCAAGCAGGTGTGTGGTCTATATTTACTTATTCACAGCCTGGTAGCCCATATGCGACACATTTCGCGTTGATGTTGTGGTTGCCATTTCACTTAGCACACCCCCTATTGATTTTCTGTGTGTGTTTAATCGAAAATGTAATTCATTTCACAAATTTGTTGTATACGTCCGGACGGCTAATCGCGGGGGATTTCTCTTCGGGGTTGAGACACACACACGCACACACATATCGCATCCACATAAATATTGCGGCCAAAACACAGAATCTGTAACATGTAACTAACACCAAGAGCTGTCTAAATTGCATTGCATTTTGGCTAAATGACATGGAATTCGAGTGAAGGCGCTTTGAGAGTCGAGTAACCTGCCTATGCAAAGTTTATTTTAATTTTAAATGCTAAAATAAAGTTTATTAAATTATATTCTGACGCTGGGCTTTTTCAAATTTAAGTTAACGTGTCTTTTGATTCGTTTTAAATTAATTAATTAACAAAAACTTTGGCATAAGGGAGATTTTTAAAATGTATATATTTTTTGATCAATGTCAAAGGAAAGTTAAAAGTATTTTCTATATGTTAAGACTATTAATTGAGTTACAACTTTCTTTGAATATAAATTGAAAATAATAAT